CACTGCCCAGGATCACTTCTTCCACCTGAACAAGCTGAAGCAGAAAATAACATCCTTCAGGCTGAAAGTCTCCTCTTTGAGGGCAGAGGTGAGAGGTGGCTCGCATTTCTGCCTGTTCTTCTCCATCCCGAGTTTTCCCCCTGGCAGCAGCCCTTCTTCCTTGCCCAGAGTGGTCCTTCCAACAGTCCACTGGTGAGAAGCATACTTTCCAGGGAGAGTGGACAGTGGGCGGCAAGGGAAGCCTGGGAAATTATTCGTATCGATTTCTCTGAGCCTTGCTAGAAGGCTTCCCTTTTTGAAGAATCTCAGGTCCCCCTAAGGAACTGCAGGTGGCGCAGTGATTGAAACCGCTGGGCTGGTGGATCGAAAGGTCGCCGGTTTGAATCTGCACAACGGGGTGAGCTCCCGTTGCTCCGTCCCAGCTCCTGCCAACCTTGCAGCTCAAAAGCATCCAAATGCAAGTAGATAAAAAGGTATCACTTCGGTGGGCAGGTAACAGCGTTCCGTGCACCTCGGTGTTTAGTCATGCCGGCCACACGACCACGGAGACTGTCTGTGGACAAATGTTGGCTCCCTCGGCTAGGAAACAGAGAGGAGCACCGCCCCCTGGAGTCAGGCATGACTGGACTTAACGTCAAGGGGAAACCTTTACCTTTACCTTACAGGTCCCCTCAATATTGCAACGAACTTGACTTTGAGCATTTGGTTCCTCTGCCAGGGCTAGTATTTGCAGCAGTAACACAAAACATCCCACTATGTCCCGGGGTCGGGAATTCTCTGAAGGCTTCAGGCCGAGAGCTCTGGGGACTGTTCATTGCTTGCTTACTTCATTATGGATCCAAGAGGGGATCTGTTAAGCAGACCACGAGGAACTTGTTTCCCTCCTCGCACTTCAAAATGCCACACACACAAACTCTCTGGTGCCATTTTCTGCTCTTGGGATACTCAAGTTTCTGCCAGGGTGGTCTCAGTAAATATTCGTGTTTTAGTCTCCGGGATTATACCCACACAGAGTGCTTCAATTCCCTGTAGCTATACTGGCTGGTAATTTAGCGATCACATTATCCATTTTCCCTTCTACTGGGCCTCAAGGCATTTGCTCATCTCTGGGCCGCATCCCGTCTCTCTTTCTGGAGGGTTCCTGTTATTAGGTCTGCTATGGCCATGTTTACTCTGGATTGTTTGGCAGGGCTGGGAAAAATTCAGCCCTTCCTCCTCATTCAAGACTCGGGGATGCTGTGGAATTGCTCAGGTCCAAACGGATTTAGCTGCCATGGGGAGAGGATGCAAGCTTTGATGTGATGATGGGTCCCTTTAGTACACAGCGTGAAGGAATGTAAATGTTTTCTGCATAGGCAGAATCCTCTTCCCACCAAACAGCTCTCCTGTTCTTCTCTTTTCATGAAAGAGCAATGTTATAATTGCATTAAAGCTCCTTTTATCCTCACAATGATTCTCCACCGGTCAGTTCCGGCTTGCTCAATGCTATAGTCCCTTTGGGGCACTAATGATCTTTGAAACGGGGTCTCCAACATCCAGGCGCAAGGGGGAGGGGAGACAGGTCTTGCTTAAGTCGGAGTGCCCTGCCGTAGTCGGCACCCCCTTCTGATCGAATCCTTTTGGCCCGCATTTTCAATTCATTCACACCCCCCGATTCGGAACCCGGTTCACGTGCAACAGGAATCTGCCCTGGCTGAGTCTACTGCACTTCTCAGAGGATCCTCTAAGAAGCCTTCCTCATGGGCAGCATGGGGAGGACTTCCTTACCCACAAGGAGCCCTCTCCAGCAAGCGGGCTCTCCGACTGGCCACCCACCTGGCCTGCCTCTGAAGATGCCAACGTCCTCAGGAGAGCGGAGACGAGGACAGGTCTGCTTCTGAAGCAATCGCCCCTGAAGGACCAGGACCACCTTGGCCAACACTCTCCAGGGGGACCGTTCCTTAAAGGCATCTTGAATGGCCCCATCAGCAGAAGTACAACCCCAAGACTGTGACGTTTATGGCTCTCCCAACAGTCTGGTTGGTTTTGCACGAGCACCACTTGGAGAGGACGCCCAGAATGCAGCCCCCAAAAGCCATTTGTGCAACTCCGGAGGGTCTTTTGCCCAAGCGATTATTCCGAGGGGGGCAAGCAAGCACAGCCAGCTGAGCAGCCCAAGGCTTCTTAAGCCCAGCTTTGGCGCACAGAAGAGGCTGGGCTGGGTGTCACTCCTGGAGGAGAGCAGCACAGGCCGGCAGGGATGCGGCCTCCCGTCGTCCCAGCACGGCGCCACGCGGCATGAGACGTGGCCGTTGCTGGTGTCCTGTGAAAGGCAGCGACCTGGTCTCCCTCCAGCCTCGGAAGAGGGGCTGGGTGGAGAGACAAGTCGCAGCTGGAGGCCACGGGTGGGTCAACCGGATCGCTGCGTCAAGCTGCAGAAGACCCGGCGGAAAGGTGTGCGGTTGCTGGAGCACGTGGGCACGGAAGCCGCAGCGAAGGGCCGAGTGATGGCCCCACTCGGGGAACTGAGAGGCACGGCTCGGGGAAGCCACGTCTCACTGTGGAGACACTGCAAAGCTGAGGGAATGCTCCAGCCACCATCTCCCTCACACGCATGATTCCGTGCCTGCCAAGGAGCCCTGACCTACGGACATCCTTTTTTGCAGTGTGTTTGCTCGTACTGGGAAATTACAGGAAGGGGGCAGATAGCGCAGAGGGCTAGATCTTCATCACTAGAAGCCATCCTCGGTCAAGAGGGCAATACACGGCAAAAAGAACTAAGGATTTTGGGGCTGGGTTTCTTGCAAGGCACCCAAATCCTGGCCTGACGCAGAGACTGGTTCTTGAATACACTGAGAACTGTTTGGGGCTGCAGGAAGTGGCTTGCAAGGAAAGGGGGGCATTACCCAGACGCCCAACACTTTTTCTGATGAGCACAAGTGGAGGAGAGAGCATCTCTCAACCGGAGTCCGAAAACTCTGCACTCAATCCATCCAACCCCGTAGAAGAGCTCCATCCTCTCCCGGCTGGCACTTGGATGGGAGAGAAAGAAGAAACAATGGACTTTTTCTTTCCCCCACACTGGCAGCCACCTTGCGCCCTGCACATGAAGCGGTTTCCTTTCTATTCTCTCCCCTGTACACGCACACAAGCACCCCGCAGACACATCACACGGACACGAATGCTTCCCCTTCTTCAGTGCCAGCCCACGGAAAGCAACTCACTTTCTCAAGAACTCTCCAAACTCTACACCTGTCCTCTTTCACAGTCCAGACCGGTTCCCATGTGCCAGCTCAGCCTCTGCTCACCAGAAGGATGCGAAAAGAGGCCCGTTATCTTCATCTCTTTCTACCTGGTGGCTTGGTCCGCCTGTGGCCGGCAGCTGCAAGCCCTCCTCCTCTCCCACATGGGCCAGACATGTGGGAAACTCCATCCACAGCAGCCGGAAGCCTTTTCTCTTTCAGAGCACCTCAGTAACTGGGAAGAAAACTTGCCATTTATGCCTTTGTGGCAGGGGGTGGGGAGTGAGGGGGCAGGTCACCAGCGTGCTTGTGGACACCCACTGCCATTTACCTTAAACCTCCACCAAAGAACATGCAGGTAATTTTAATCCACCACTTTCAGGTGTGAAAGAGCCATTCCAGAGTAAACCGTCTGAAGAATTCCACTTTCACACTTACCCAGCAGTTGCCCGAGGCGACTTACACTGTTAGCAGAAAGACATCAAGCACTTCCAAGTTCTGAGAAATCAAGCAATAGATATTGACATGTCAAACTGCTCCTCAGGTTGGCACTTCCTTGTCCCAAGTCTCTGTTTATGGTCAAACAGGTTTGGGATTCTATATTGTTTATTGGGATTTAAATTATGAATTTAGCCGCTTGCCTTCTAGTACAAGCCATCACAAGGAGACTTACAAGACGCCTTTTAAAAGCAACTGGAGGCATGAATAACAGCAAATAAAATCATGCACTGCTAAATTAAATTAGCTTTTAATTTTTTAAAAAAGTATTTGGCGTCTACTTAAAGGCAGCAAGAGGGAGGGCCAAAAGCTAAAATCTGGGGGAAGGCATTGTAGAACTGCAAGGTTGCAACTAAGAAACAGTGCCCTTCATACCTGACACTGTAAGTGGTGAACCAGTATTCCCAGTCCAACCTCACCACTTTAAGTAGTTTCACAGATGGTCTGTCAAATAACCTGGTTCTTGTTTGTAGAAAGCAAGTTAGGAGCCTTCTTGGTCGAACAAACTCTGGAGGAAGGACACGGGAAAAAGATGTGCCAGCAACCTCTGTAGCTGGTCCAATCCAGCCAAGCACACCTCTGCTACGCAAAGACCCCAAAGGAACTTCGGGAACCAACTGCCCAACTTGGAGTGGAGACAGACTGGCAAGAAGAGGCAGCCCAATTTTTGGCACAAATAGAGACGGCAACGCTCGTCTGGACTGCGCAGCCGCTCCCGAATCGCCCCGGCCAACATGCCCAGACTCTCTCACCTCGAGACTCCACTTCAGCACAGAAATGTTTTCATGCACATCTTCCCCCCATAAATGGCTCCACCCGCCACTAGGTCAGTCCAGCAAACCTTAATTTTCGCTAATGCCTGCAGGAGGCGGTCTGGCGACAGTGCCCTCCTCCCTGACGGAAATGCAGCACTGCGCTCTTTCTGGCGTGACTGACAAGGTCATCGCGAAAAGGCGAGGAGAATGGATGCGCTCGCCACGTTCCTGGGTAAATCTCACTGTTATTGCGTGCACCATCCTGAGCTCTGGGTTTGTGCAAGCAAACCGACTGGGAAGCCTCCCTCTTTGGGCTCCTATAGAGCAGTCAAGGCTGTGCTTTCACCTGTCTTCTAGCTACTTAACCTGGGAAGCTCGGCGGTGTCCTCGCGGTGCATGTTTGTGCACGAGAGAGAGAGAGAGAGAGAGAGAGAGAGAGAGAGAGAGAGAGAGAGGTTGCGTTCTTGCCCTGCCCAGTTACAAAAAGAAAGAAACCCACTCAAGTCAGAAAAGGGCAAGCAACCCCTTCCGTTTTTAAAGCACTTTTTATTGATCTCATTGAAAACAGAACAAGGAAGTGACAGGAGCCGAAAGACAGCTCCTTTAAAACGGTCAAAAACATGGAACAGGGAGGAAAAAAAAAAACGAAAATAAAACACCCGGCAATATGAATGGTTTAGAAGAGATGCACCAAAAAAAAAAAAAGCCCCCAAACCTGGTACTGCACTAATTACAGTATTTAAGGATATATGAAAAATAAAATGACCCTGCTTTGCCATCACACAAAAGGGGATGGCGGATTTATTCTCACTACAATACTAACAATTTTTAAAAAAGGTTTTGTGGGGTTTTGTCCCTGCATTATATACTAAAATCACTTTGTTCTTTTTTTCCTTTTTATTATACAACTGAAATGTATATTCACGCAGTGAGTAAAAATCACACTAAATCAGCACCGTTTAGTTGCTTGGGTGAGGGCAGGTTCATTCGGAGCTTTTCAGGTTCAGCGTCCAATGGTAAAAAATAAACTCAGTTCAGTCCAACTTCAACCTCATAATGCGTAGCTTAAAAGGGGGGGGGGGGAGAACAGACCCGAAAAGTGGAGATGGCACAAGTCAATCTTCTCACACCATGTCCGGGGGGTGCCCAGTTTCTGAGAGTCTGCTGAAGAAATGCCCAGGACAGGGTCTCTATAAATGCCAGTTTTCAGAATTAAAAACAGCGAACCCCACCCTCCTTTGCTCTTAGGAGTTAGTGTCATTGAAGATGTGTTCCTATTAGGTTCCTAGCATGATGGAAAGAAGGGGGCGGATCCACTAATGTGAAGAGAGAGCCAGCAGGGAAGGGGGAACACGCCCAGGAGCTGGTCTGTAACGGAGACGCCCGGACAGGACTCTGAGAACAACTGCCAGGTTTGGGCAAATTGAGGTGGGAGAACGAGGGTGGCCAACTAGGGGCTCCCCGCACGAGGTCTCGAGCAGGCCCGGGGCCCAGGACGACGCCGTGGCGAGCGAGAGGAAGGGAGCTTGGTCCAGGTGCAAGCAAGCTCCCCCACAGCCGTGCCAAAGGGGTCTATCGGCACTGTCCAGACTTTGCTCTGAGGATCGATCGGCGCCGTCCAGAGTTTAGTACGACCAGCAGGGAAAGTGGTTGTGAGCCGTCTGTTCAGTTTGCATCCTTCCAAAGGGGTGGGTGGGTGGGTGGGTGGGTGGGTGTGAGAGAGAGAGAGAGAGAGAGGGAGGGAGGGAGGGAGGGAGGGAGGGAGGGAGGAGGGAGAGCGAGAGAGACACACACCTTTCCCTTGGCCTGTGTTATGAGACCCCGGAGGGGAGACGAGGACCGCCCCCCTCCGGGCTTGCACCGTGCGCTCCGCTCTTTCCTGGCGTGTCGCGAGTGTGGAAGGCTGAGCTGGGGGGGGTGGGGGGCACCGAAGGCACCTTGCCCGTTCGTCCGGGGGCGGCCGTGCCAGGGTGCTGCGAAGCTCGCGAGTTTCCTTTCTTGCGGAGAGAAGACAAAATGCAAACCGGCCGTGGATCCTGAAGGTGGCGTGGGGTGCCGGGCCCTCAGAAGGGGTTGGCTGCCACGGCGACGGCGGTGGCGGCGGCAGAGCTGGTGTCGGGGAGCCGGTTCTCCGGTGTTTCTGGGGAGGCGGAGGGGCTCGCTTGCCGCTGGGCCAGAGCTGCACTGGAGTGCCTGCACTTGGGCGAGCGGCACACGCAGCTGAAGTACTTGCCCTTGATGTCCCAGAACCTCTCGCCGTAGTCGAACCTGAGAAGGGCAAAGACACGGGCCTGCTTACCCCGGAGAAAGCCTGGCGAAGAAGGCAGCCCCCCTTTTAGAGTACAGCTGGCGTGAGAACCATCACGGCATCCATACTCTTGATCCGCGTGCGTGCCCGCCCACCCGTCCGTCTGTCCCTTGTCCTCCTCACAGCTTGGGCATCCAATGTTGCAGGACGGTGGGATGCAAACGGATAGAGAACAACAGAGTTTCCGGCCACCTGATCGCCTTCCGGCCACCTCCACCCCGTGCCTGCCCTGCCAGCAAGAGGACAGGGCTGAAGAAAGGCATCTTGGCCCTGGAGGACCTGGGCACGACCTCATCCTCTGGCCGGCCAGTGCTCTTATTGGCACTTGCTACATGCGGGACAAATGAGCCAGGCTCTTGGCAAAAATAAAATAAAATATAAAAGGACACAAATCTGCTATAAGGAAAGAGGCTTGCTCAGAAAGGGCTTGGGGTGTTTTAACCTGGACAGCCTCTGAGTGGGAGGGTATGAATGGGTGTCCTGCAACAGCGGGGGTTGGACCCGATGGCCTTCTTGGCCCCTTCCAGCTCTGCTCTTCCAGGCTTCTGTGATTCCATGAACCACCCAGGACACACTGAGAACATCCTAAAGTGGCTAAGGCTGAGCTCAAGAAAGCCCAAGCCAGGTTTTCAATGTGAAACGGGATGATACATTAAGAGATTCCACTGGGAAATTTCTTGAAATTACACTTAACCTTTTGACCGGACTCAAGACTTACCTGTAAGAAAACTGGAGGGGGGAGTGAGGATTTTTAAAAATTAGATATATATCCCACTCTTTTTCTTGCAAAGAGTTAAAGTTCACATCCTCCTCCTCCTGCTCTCACTCTTATCCCCACAACAGCCCTGTGAGGTAGGCTGGGCTGAGAGTCAGTGACTAGCCCAAAGCCACCCTGCTGGCTCCATGACCAAGTGGGGACAAGAACCTGGATCACCTAAGCCCCAGTCCCACACCCCTAACCGCTACACCACACTGCCTCTCACAAGATGCAAACCTCTGAGACTGTTTTCCCAGAGAACGTCCTCAAGGGAACAGTGATGTGCTGAAGAGAAACTCTTTGGAGGTGGAATGAGCTGCTGGGATTCCTTCCTGGTGCCACCCCCTTTCCCTCCCGGCACGGCTCTTCCGGAGCAATACATACCCGATCTCTTCTCCAGCCTGGATGTCCCTGCTGCTGAAGAAGGCAATCCGAGGGAAGCGCAGGTCCTGGTGGGACATGAACACTCGCACGGCGATCAGGTTTGGCTCGCAGAAATGGTTGATGAAGCGGCTGATGTTGCCGTAGAACCGGGCATCTATGCAGTACACTTCCCTGTCCTGGGAGATCGGTGGAGCGAATGCGGCGTACGGTTAGACGAGGAGGCCAGGCGCCAGGCCTCCTGCCCCACCTGAACGACCCGCCCGACCCACACACGAGGGGGTGCTGCCCTCGCCGGAGCAATCCGGCAAGGCACCGTCAAGCATGGGGGTGTCTTGAGCGGCCGCTGGGATGCGATGAACCCCCTGCACACGGGACCGAGGGAAAGGTTCCCGGGAGACCCGAGAGATCAGAGCTCTGAGGTGCTGATGGGGGGCTGAGGGAAGCAGGAGAAAGGGAGGGCGTCAGACACGGGCGGGCGGGCTGAAGGGAGCCCTGGAGAGTCTCCCTCGGTAGTCAGTTTGCGTGCTCCTCTTTCACGGATCTGGCCCCGGGAACGGCAATGTGCAGTGGGACCTCGACTCATGAGCACCGCAATTCACGACCAACTCGGGTCGCGAACAGAGATTTCAGGAAAAAACTGCCACAGGTCGCGAACTCCACATCGGGAGATGATCGCGATGGCGCCCGTCTTCCCTGCTCAAGCGCAATCGCGGCTGGGCTGCAGGGGGGGGGGGGAGATGCCCGCGATCTTTGCTGTTCTTTGCCACTTCGCTTCACATTTTTTGGTTAAAAAAATGGTTACTGAACAGATTAACCTTGTTTACATTGAACCTTACGGGGAAGTTTGACTTGGCCCATGACCAATTTGGGTCATGACCAGAGTCCGGGAATGGAGGAAGGAAAGGTACCACTGTACACCCTGGCACAGAAACCTCAGACATGTAAACAGGCCGTCCTACACAGGCAAGACGGCAGCCTGCCCCACGTGGCCAGAAGGGGTGGAAATGGGGCAAGAGGGCGGCGAGGCATCCCGCCAGAGGAAATGGCTCGCTTCGCTGCGCAGCCAGCCTTGGCTGGCACTTCGCCACCACGACCGAAGCAACCGCTGAGCCAGGGACCGGAAAAGGTGCGTCGCCACATCCCCCCATTTCGGTCCGCTGAGCTTCTCGGCCCTCAGGGCAACAGGACTCTGCTTTTCCTGAAGCGAGGAGAGCTCCCCTAACATCAGCATGCAGGTTTTCTCTATCAGAGCGGGGAAGAGAATTTATTTTAGCACGTTGGCTTGTGCTGGAAGTCCTTAAAAAAATAAAAGCGGAAGCTACCTTGTTGCCAAGGTCAAAAAGATAGCAGTCTTCTTCACGTACATTTGCCTCTGAATCAGAGATCAGCTCTCCAACATACCTGCAGAGCGACAGAAAAGCAAAACAAGTGAGAGAGAGAGATGTTTTTTTTTCTTTTTTGCAAAAACATTGGGGGCCTTGAGAGAGACGAGTTTAGGTCTCTGGCTCTGGAATAAGCAACCGGGTGCTCTCCCAAACTTTTTGGCCTGCAGTTCCCATAATTTTGCCCATTGCCCGTGCTCGCTGTGACTTGTGGGAATTGTAGTCCAAAACATCTGGAGGGCTGCCTCCCACTGGTTGGCCAGAAACTTCCAGAAAGTAAGTTTGCCTCCCACCGGGGAAATAAGTAAACTGCGAACTTTCGAAAGCAGCCGCCTTGGTGTCCACTCATCTGGGCGGCAACCGCTCTCCCAGATTCTTCCCACTCCTGCCTTCAGCATGACTCCTCTGCAGCAAGCAATCAGAAATGCTCCCAGGGGTATTTCTACTCCACTGGCCTTCCCACAATTCTGGGCAACAACATCCGATGAGCATCTCTAAAGATTTCCTCCACGGTTAGAAAAGCACTCCGTTGTGCATTCACACACAGGGGCAGTAATATCGAGCTCCAAGACGGCATAGTGCCCGTACGCATGATGCACAGACAGCGCAAGGCTTTTGACCACATCTGTGGCAAGTTCAGCTCCACAGCCTTCCTCACATGGGCTTCCACGGGAGGTGGTCGAGGCCCCACGGGTGAGGGTGTTCAAGGATGGGCCAGACACGCACATGGTAGGCGTGTCAGACTAGATGGCCGGGGGTCAGACTAGATGGCCCGGGACACCCCTTCTGGCTCGCTCTGTCAGACTGGCTTGGAAAGCCGTAGCCTCTTAGAGAGCAATCCTAAGCACACCCACCCAGAAGGAAGTCTCAGGTTTTGTCAGGACCCTTATGGTGGACACAACCACAATCCCGCACACGAAAAGCCCCGCACTGTGAACTGTGCGGCCCCGGTCTAAGCTGAGAGAGGAATGCAGCAGCAGCAGAAGCAGCATCCGAAAGACCACATGGAACAGGGAGAGCCTGCCTGTGTGCGTTCGACGACGTGAACACCACCGAGGGACCCGCAGAGCCTCGTGCGAGCTCTCCCTTCCCTCGCCGTGCCAGCAGCCCTCCCGGTCAAGCAGAGAAGGGACTCACTCGCAAACGAAGGTTCCCAGTGGAACGTCTTGCATCGTCCGCACGCCCCAGCCCATCTTCCTTGTGCGAAAAAGTTGCAATCGGGCCCTGGAAGGCAGGAGAAATGCAGCCCTGTGAGTGTGTGCGGCACAGGCAGGGCGTTCCAAGCCCCAGGAAGGCCCACTTGAATTCCTATGGAACAACGTCTCCAGCTAAAGGTGAGCGGGATATTTAATGCGGAAAGCAGAAGTGCGACGAGGGATCTTGGTGTGGAAAGGCAGGAAAGAACTTGTAAAGGATAGAGGGAATTTCTGTTTTGTTTTATTTGGTAGTAGCAAAAAGAATACAAGGAAAAATAAACGTGAGCTAAGCAGCGGAAGATTCCAAGGCAGATGTGACTGTGTGTCTGTTCGAAAAGGAACTGGGGGACTGGGTGGGAGCCCCCTCCCTTTATCCGGACTTCTGGAAGGGCTGGGCCGGGGCTCCCGCCCACTCCGTGATGCTGAGCAATGGACGTTTCTCTCCGATCAAAGCCTTGCACTCCATGGCAAAGCCGTGTGATGCACAGAGGCCATGAGGGAGGGAGGGAGGAGGAAGGAAACAAGGAAGGGAGGACTAAAACATTTTAATAACTAATTGCCACAGACCTTTGTTTTGTATGTTTTGCTGTATTTTATTGTTGTTTTTAATGAGTGATTGGTTTTATTGTGCTTTTATTGTGTTTTTATCTTGTGGTTGTAAGCCACTCAGAGGTGTTATGGACAACTGGAAGGCATACACATGTTTTAAATAAAAAAGACAGACAGACAGACAGACCTGACAGTATCCATTCAATGTGCTCAACTAAATGCTGGGAAAGGAATTGACTCTGATAACATTCCAGAATTTAGGAAAGCCATTCCGGGGGCCTCCAGGAAGCACTTGCTGGGCACGCCGGCCGACGTGCCCCCCCTTCAGGTGCATCTACTCCTCTCCCTGGCAACAGACACTCTCCCAGTATTTGCACTTCGTCACGAGAGCCCCTGCGTGTCTGCCTGCCACTTGGAGAGCTCAGAGGCAGCAGCTCAGCCCACCGGCTCCCCAGGGAGCTGCCCAGATAGGCCAAATGAATCCTCCAAGACCGCTCACTGGGTGCCTGGCGGGAAGGGCACGCACCCACGTGCCCGAGACCCTTGGGGCTACAGAGGACGGGCGAAATGCCCCTCCGAAAATGGGGCAGCGAAGGCTCCAACGCGGAGAGAGAGAAAGAAAGCGCAGCAGATTTAACTGGAGGGGAGGGGAAAAAGAAGCCAAGAAAGGAACGGCCCCCATGTGGCCCTCCCTTTCTGGCTTTGATTCACGAGGGGTTCGCCGGCCTCCCCGCTTCGGTCCGCCCATCTTCCCCCAAAGCCCCCACCCCGGTCTCCCAGCACCATCCCTCGCGTTTCCCCCTTTCCCGGCGGTCTCACCGGAGCCCGTTCTGCACCACGCGGTTCCGGCAGGTCCTCCAGCAAGAGCAGGCGTGGTTGCACTCGAAGATCAACGGTGGCTCGGCCGTGTTGAACTCGGGCAAGAGCCGCCCATCCTGCAGCGGGAGAAGCGGGAGAGGGAGGCGGGAGAGGGAGACGTCAGCCGGGCGTGCAGGGCTAGGCGGAACGGCCATTTTTCAAGAGAACCGAGCGCAAGGCCCCCCATTCTGCCCCCCCCCCCCCACTGAGCAGCTAACGACGCCTCTCCAGCCGTGGACACTGGGGGAGGTCAGAACGTCTCACGTCCAAAGCATGATTCATACCCCTGGACCGCACGGCACTTATCTTTTTAAAGGCAGTGCATGCACAGCTAGAAAATTCATAGCACAGCAGAAATATTTGGAATTTATAAAAGATATACAGTATAAAATTTTATACTGTAAAAGACAGTTCCCCAGCGTTTTCCACTTTGTTTCCAAACCTCTTGGTTGAATGCAGGATTCGGGGCCAGGGGGTAGCTGCATGTGCCGAAGACACAAAACCCAGGCAGCATCTCAAGATGACTCCTTCACAGCTTCTTCCAAGGTCCTGCTCCACCCACCCTGCCTTAAGACTTAAGGCGGGTGGCACCCAGGACCAGGGTCTTTTCTCTGGTGGCCCCCAAAACGACTGGCCAAACACCCCCTCTTGTTTAAATGCCGCAAAAAGGCTTTGCTCTCACAAGCTTCCTCTGGCATCATCCCTGCCTTTCTAACTGCTACTAGAAATTCTGTTTTCTTCAAAGAATCTTTTTCGCACAGAGGCGTTCTGCTGGCTAGTTTTGATTTCCTTTTATCAAAAGGAAAAAGACCTTCATTTATATTGACTACCGATGGCCCTGAGCATGTTTTGTGGAAAGGCAGACTACAAACGCTGGAGGGAAAATCACAGAACGCCTGCAGCCGAGAAAGGCGAGCGTGTTTCTGGGGCTGCTCCTCTTCCTTAGCTTGCCCCCCGTGTCCGTCCTCCTTTCCCCCAGTTAATACCCTCCGTATTTCCCACAAGTGATCGGAAAAGCTTCTGCAGCCAAAGCGATGAGTCCAAAGGAAGCCTATTATCAGCCCAAGAAGGAGGTCCTTCCTCGGAGCGCCTCCACCCCAGCCCTCAAACCGTGACATGGGGAGACGGGGCGTGCGAAGTCCTCACCCGGTCGTACCAGCTGCGCACACTCAGCTGTCCACACATGCACTTACTGGAAGAGCAATTGTCTGTGCACACGCAGTACTAGAAAAAGCAAGGACAGGAGAGAGTCACTTGTCAGTCGTCAGGTGAAGCGTTGCTCCAGGGAACCCGCCCTGCAAAGGCCACTGCGAGCTGCGGCTTCGGCCTTCTCGTATAAGGTGGAGCCACGAAAGGAGCAGGGCTCCCGTAACGGGGGGAGGCTTTTCAGAACGAAGATGTATTCCAGGCAGACATCACAGAGGAGAAAAAACTGGCCACTGGAAATCCACTGGAACAGCAGAAGCATCTCCTAGAATTTCTTATTCACTTTGTTAGGATCCCGTGATAGGAGTCAATGGCAAGAGGAGTGGGAAGGGGATGGTGGTGGACTCCAAGCCCCACCTTTTCTAGTCAGAAGGGTCAGTGACTGGGGAGGATGGGAGTTTTACTTCAACAACAGGCAGCTGAGTTTTGTGGCTGTGTTGATTTGCTTTTACTGGAATATCTTACGGTTCTGGGGGTCCTATCATGGTGTATTTTGTTTTTCTTAGGACAAAGGTTAAAATGCTTTTCATAGGTGACGATCAAAAGAAATCTAAAACACTACAGGGTCCCTGGCCCTGTGATAAAGAAAGCAGTGATGTGGGGTGGAAAATATTCCAGTGTTTCATTTCTGCAACAGAAGGCTTTCCATTTTACAAATGTATTAGCAAAATTGTTACATGCCTTTTGGAAATACAACACTGAGCATACTTGGCAGTTTGAAAATTAATATTTTTCAGGTGATAGGCCACAGAACTTAGCTACCTCTCAAAATGAAATTGATCTAATATTAACAGTGAAGATGCTGTAATAGCCTCAGCAGAAGAGAAATGAACTTTGCTTAAACAGGTGCACATTTAATTAAACATATCAGCATTTAAGGCATTAGTTTAAATAACAGCAGCTTTAATTACTTGTAATTTGTACTTATAAATTAATTAGTTCTCAGAGCCTGTTTCTTTTCCTTAAATTTAAAACATGTTGAATATTTTTCCCCCCAGAAGTATCACAGGAAAATGCCTACCTAACATTTAAAACACATGAATTGTGCTTTAATTCTTTTACCTCAAGTACTTCATGTCAAATACTTGTGCTGTATTGGGATTGTTAACAATTAATACAAGGCGCTTTTTAAAAAGCTGCCTTTACTATAATGCACATAAAACAAGCTGGATCTCAGCCTGAAACATTGTGAATGGCTCTGATTGATGCTGGGAAATTGTCCTATTCAGTGTTATGGCTTCCCGACATCAGAGAGGAAAGAAATATATCTTTGAGAGTACCTATCCCTGAAGGAAGGAAGGGAAGGCAGGCCCAGAGTATTGTCTGGAGGCACATGGGGCATTCGCCCTGCTGAAGCTAAGAGGCCTAGGGCTGGCCTGAGCTTGGCGGGGAGCCCCCGTGCCCCCCAGGAGCCCCCTTGAGTCCCACAACGGGAGAGAGGTGGGATGAAAATACAAAGGTTGCAAAGGGGGGCACCTGCTGAACCGACTCGGCATGGGCACCCAAACAGGTGCGGGTGCAGAGCAGGCCTTCCTGCTCGTTCACCCCGGGGAGGAAAGCGGCAGCCAGCCGGGTGGGAGCAGGCAAGGAATCGGAAGGCGGAGGGAGCTGCCAGGCAGCGCGTCTTAACCTGCAGGTGCGTGATGTTCCTGTCGATGTTCATGGGGGAAGTCACACAGTTCTGGGAAACGTATTTGTAGTTGCTAGGGCATGGCTCGTTGTCTACAGAATTGATGCACGGAATCGGGATCCGCTCGTAACCACGGGCGATGTCTCTGTCAGAGCGGGGAGAAGAAAATAATCACTCTCGAGCTACAGGAGTGAGGCGCACGGCTCCCCCTCTCCTGGCAAGACAGGCCAGGCGTGTGCCGGTCCGCGAACGCATCTGCAAGAGCCTGATTTGGAAGCAGCTTCGCCTTCCGCCTTGAGTGCTTCCAAATGTGAAAGCTGCCGGCAAGCCCCATGGCCCCCACTGCCCTGAACGATGAGGCTGTCCAGGAATTCACACAGGGCTGGGGGTGGGAACCTCGCAGACAGACGGGGTGGAGTGGGGCTGAGGCCCAGGTGGGTGGGTCTCTTCTCACACCTGCTCAGAATCTTTTCCATCCGGAGGGGCTTCTCTGGAGCCGATTCTTTGAGGGTTTTGTTCATCTGCAGGGCAACCCAGACTTGAGAGTTGAGACTCGAACACTGCAGGGGAGTCTCGCCCTCCTTGTTCTTCAGGGTGACGTCCGAGCCTCGGGAGAGAAAGAGTCTGCGAAGCAAAAGCAAGACGACAGTCACGGAAGTCACCCGGCCCTGCCTGGTACATCCAGCGATGGCCAGGCGAGCGCCTGGAGAGGAGCAGCAGTTTCTGATCCCAAAAAGCACTCCAGCAAAGAAGCCATTACACGGAGGGTGCCCTCTCTTCCGGAGCCCATTTTTGAAAAACAGATTCCTGAATGCCGCTTGCTCAGAAAGCTGGCCTTACACGGATAGAAAAGAATCCATCTGAAAAGCAGGAAAAGCTCAGCACTTGGCGAGCGCAATATTTGGCGGGAGCAGACATATGCCAAGCAGCAATCACGGAACCAAACGGAGCTTGCAAACAAACTCACTGTTCTTACACCTCCACAGCGGCTTGTTACTGAAATTTGGCAGCGATGGCTGTTTTTTAAATTACTTTCTCGCTGGCACACTTCTTGGTGGTGCCAGTGGGGCGGGGCGGGGTGGGGGAGAGCTATGGCAGGGGCCAGGTGCAGCCCCTGTGTGTTGGTCACCCCTTGGGCTAGCTAGATGAGGTCTGTTGTAAGACGTGGGGCAGAAACCCTCTCAAACAGGAACTGCCTGTGACCCATGGAGCACGTCGTAAGAAGAGCCCTCTAATCGAGCACCCCACAGGCGCTGTCCATCAGGACCAGAAGGTCACAGACTGACCCGGCTGTATTTTGCAGAAACCAGGGTGTCGAGGAGGGAGGTGCTTCCGGGTGCAGCTGTCAGAATTTCTTTCCTGCACAACGAAAGCTGCTTAACCTGGAGCGGTTGCGGGGCACTCCCTCGCCAGAAGGGCGCTCTGGGAATCAGGACTCCCGTCCTCTCCTCCTGGGAGAGGCCCGCTCCGCACCAGACTCGCCAGAGGCCAAGATGCCGGCTGCTTGCACCTGAGGCTCTGCGGAGGCCGCCGGGAAGGCACCTGCAAGTGCAGCCCTCTCCCCGCCCTGCCCACCAAGGCACAGGGACCGGTCCCCCGAGCCGTACTCACACCACACACTCGTAGCGGTTCTCTCGTGCGGCTATGTGCAAGGGGGAATCTCCGTGGATGTTCACCGCATGCAAGTCACACTTCGCGGCCAGCAAAATATCCGCTATGTCGACGCACCCCGAGAAAGCGGCCCAATGTAAACAAATGTTCTCCTCCTGGAAAGGGGGCAGGGAGAGAAGCGGGGATTCAGCACGGGGGATTTCCCGATCCCCACGCTCCCTTTCCTGGCCGTGCGTGGGCTGCCTTCTCCGGCTCGCTCGGCTGCGCTGCCAGGCAGGCGGGGAGCTCCCAGAAGCGAGCCTGCGGAGGATGCAAGGAGGAAGCTGCACGGAAGGGCTGCCCTCCTCGCCTTATAAAGACAGGTGAGTCATTCGGTTGCGAGCTGCTGCACGGCCAGGATGAATCCACAGAGAGATGACACAGAGAGGGAAGGAAGAGCTGTTATCAGCAGACCCTGTCTGACCTAGGAGCACCGGAAAACAAACACCGGCGGCGTCTGAAAGACAGATCCCCGGAAGGGAATCAGCAGCGGGCCGGCTTGGAGAAGGCACCGGGGCCAACAATGCCTCTTGAGAGATGCTGCCGGCCGCTCTTGGAGCGTCCAAGCCGCCATCTTTCCCTCGGGGATCAATCAGGAGGATCGAAACACACACACACTGGGAACAAGAAGATGCCTCAGCATGACCTGGAGCCTGTTCTAGCTTCCCTCTTCGAGCCACCGTTTTAACTGGTGGCCTAGCACAGAAAGGGGAGTATTCCTAGCCTGCAGGTTTCTCCATTGCTTCTTGGTCTGCACTGAACCCGAACTCCTGAAGGACTTCAAAGAGGGGGAGGAGAGGAGATGTTCTTCTGAAGAGAAAGAAAAGGGGTGTTTCTTCCTCCTGACGGAGTAGATCAAAGTGCTCTGCAAAAGCCCCAGGGGACAGGCCTTTTCGCAATGGTGAAACCGCCCAAGAGAGGAGAAACGTCCTGCCAACCAGCGGCCACATCTGCTTGGGGCCGCCCTGGCCAGACCCAGGCGGGCCTAGCATCCCCCGGACAGAGCAACGGCCCCGTGGGGGAGAGGGGCCCCACCTGCAGGCCAGGCCCCCGAAGCATGATACAGCGGGGGGCCTCGGCTTGCCCCACGCGTGCCTCTCATTCTCCACAGGACCACTCCGTGGGAAATAGTGGGGCGGGGGGCTACCCCGGCTGCGCTGCAGAAAGGACAAGGAAAGCAAGCCAGCAACGGCAGTGGGTGGAGCCCACAGCGACGCCGGGTGGGGAGCCTTGGGGAGAGCAGCTTGGGTTCTGGGGACCCGGCGGGAGGCAGAGGCCTTGGACGCGCCCTCCAGCTCACTGCCCGCAGGTTCCCAGGCCGATCTGGCGAGTGGGAATGTTCGGAACAGGCGGGAGGAGGGAGAGACACTGCCTTGCCCGGTCCCTCACCCCAGGAGCTGCCCAGCCAGGCGGCTTGCGGAGGGCTCCCCTTCGCCCGAGGGTGAGGCCCAGAGTCCGTGAAAGGGAAGGACCTTGGGGAGAAGTTCCTGATTCAAGGTCAGCACTCTGCACATGAGCAGAGGCTAAGCTTCCAAAAGCACTAGGGGGCTTTTCGAGTTGCTTCGCTGCATCGCTGTGGAAGGGTCAAGAAAGAAGGGACCTTCTGGTGTTTTCATGCCCAAGGGCGAGAAGAGGAGAGCTGGGCACCGCAGTGGGGTGGCCGGGGGGGGGGGGGGGGGAGCACTCCACACAAACCCACACAGCACAGTTCCCAGGCACTCTGGGACAAAGGGGGAGGCTGTTGGGCTAGGAATGCCCACTCCAAAAGGTGCGCTACCCTTCTAGGTTTCTTTGCTCCTGGAGAAGAGGCCTTGTTTCAGAAGACCCTCAAAGCCTGGAAGGAAGTCCTTCCTAGTGGGTGGATCTTTTGGAGGAGCAGACCAGCATGGTGCTGGTCAGAGGTGTAAGCCCAAGGCTGGGCAGAAATGGAGAGACTGACTTTGTCTCTCAAGGAGGAAGAAGAAACATATTATTACCAGACTTGGGACGTCTTTTATCAAATGGCTAGAGAAGCAGGATTACACCTAGGGCTGAAATGTGCAGTAACTGCAGAGAGAATAAGAGAATGACCCAGTAGGTCCGATGTCTTTTGAATGATCATTTGTTTTATTTGTAGAAAATATAATAAAAAAAACTTAAAAAGATGTCCAAGCCCCTTGCACTGCCCTGAAGATTCAAGCCGCCCACCAGCCGGGGGCTCCCGAGTATCAAAAGGGGCACGGACAGGCTATCCGACTGTGTCCCCAGCCCCTCCTAAGCAGGAGCACTTACATTGTCACGGATGTTGATGTCGGACCCCTTGGCCAGCAGCAGCTTCACCAGCTCGACGTGCTTATACTCCGTGGCCCATATCATGGGCGTCCAGCCCCCATCATCCTGGGAAGAGAAGCAACCCCAGAATTGGCCGGGCCCGGGAGAGACACCGCACAGAGCCCACTCTCCTGCTGAGCCAGCCACCCCAACCCCGAAAGCTACAGCCCAGTGAGGCAGCACCAGTTCAGACCCCATCGAACTGGGAGATGCTTGCCTCCTTCCCGGCCCCCTCGCTTTACGGTGGACCTGTTTGCGGAGGCCTCCTTGGGCTTCCTTCCCCGTCTTCACGGATTTACCGGGCGGTGAAATGCCCCCATCTGGTCATGTGCAAAGGGGGCTGCTTCACACTGCCCTAGCCCAGGTGTGCACAGGACTCCCCACACATTTCCCCACTGAGCCCCAAGGGAATCTGCACACGGCAGCGTTACGCGCGCTCCAACCGCAGAGCGTGCTGCTCCAGAGACGGGGCCGGCGCGTGTGTGCCAAAGCGTACCTGGCAGTTGACGTCCACCTGCTCGTTGGACAGGAGATACTGCACCACGTCGTAATGGCCCTTCTTTGCCGCCAGGTGCAAACACGTTGAACCTTCTGCATCCTGAAGAAAAGCGCACCATCAGATCCACGTATCCCCCGAACCAGTGCGGAGCTTACAAAATGGATTTCTGGGCTCCGGGAGGAAATACACTGCAGAGCAGGGCCCGGTTGGTGTCACGCGACCCACCAAGCTGAAGGCAGAGTGACAGCAAAAGATTGTGTCCTGCCAGATACTTGAAAATCCTCCTCTCCGATTCTGCAGTCGCCATTTCGCCTGCCGGCAGAGAGCTAATAGGAAGCAGGCAGCTCTTAGTTCCTTGCAGACCGGATGCCAGTGCTTGAGGAGCACCAAGCGAATGGAACTGGTATCCTCTTGTTGCGAAGCACAGTGGTTAACACATGGAATAAACACTAATCTAACACAGGGAACGAAGCGAGGTGTTAGAAAAAGGAGTCGGCAGAAAGCACCAGTTCAAGCTACCTTTCTTGCGTGCTATCCGGTTTTTAAAATCAACTTCTTAAAAAAAAAATCAGTGGGAAATGCCAGGCAAGAGGGAAATTAGCACCTGAAGGAGAACAGCTCTACCCCAGCTCTCTCCCTGCCGTGCAACTTTTCCATTTTTTAAAAAAGTAGGAGAACTCAAGAAGTAATTCCCCGCTCCACAGGCAGAAGCAGCAGGGAAGCAATCCTCCGCAGAACTTGGGTTCTCCTGGCAGCTGAACCACGGTCCTTCTGGACCGCTCCTCCGCTTACAGAGCGTGGCAAGTGCCCCTCCATGAGATTTAAACCTCCAGCCCCCATACCCTCCTTACCAATCAAAGCCACAGAGGTTGCCTTCCAAGGGTTGTATTATCAAAATGCCAGCACCCTTCAAGGATGATTCATATGCAACAGACATAAATCAACCTAAATTCCAGGTTTATTATCCAATAATAATGATCTGAGAGGCTGAAGAGAACCCAGCCTTAGCATAAGTTACCAAAAGAAAAAAAGTGGTTTTATTTTGTTTTATTTAAAAGGGTAAATAACGCTTCTGGATGCGGGTGATTCACATTCTCAGGCAGGGAGAATGTTTGGCACGACATCGCGATCTTTACAGACCCTGAAGCGGGCTGCCGGAGAGATTGCTTCCTGCTTACGGAGATTCTTGGGGGCTTGCCAGTGAGCGCTGGCAAGCAGTCTTTGGCCGCTAGCTGCTTTTGGACACCGCTATCCTGCTCTGCTCTCTTGACTGCCTTCTCCTGACTACTCCTTCCAGAGGCCCTGCAGGATACTGACCCTGTCCTAGCCGGCTGGAAAATACTCTCCTGCCTCAGACCAGCCTCCACAATGGCCTGACAGAGGCTGACCCTCTGGACAGCCAGTGTTTTCCCCCGATGACGGGTGGGCAGGCACCAAGCAGAGAGGCATTTCCTGAGACCATCCAGGCTTGAGCCCCAGAACCACAGAGAGCTTTCCAAATATGCCGTTAGCAAGGACTGAGATTCCAGAATGCCGCCCACACACCTCACAGGGTCACGGTCACCTTTGCAGAGCACCTTGGATGCAGGCCGAGTCCCCTGTGCCCCGTGGCTGCACTGGCCCAGCATTATGTACGCCGACCGTCTCTAGGTCGGGGCATCACCTTGCTCTGCGTGGGCTGAGTGTCACCCCCCATCTGGGCCAGCCTGGAGTGTGGGGGACCGTGATTCAAAGCATGTGGGGGGTGCCGGGCGTGGCAGCAAAGGGCAGGTGATCTTTGCTATGCCACACCTGCAAGGAGCAAGCCAGCGACGGAGGTGTGGTGAGAGGCTGATGCACAGGAGGGCCCCGTTACAGGCCGACTGCACAGATTCCATCTGATCCCAACGAGGACTTGGAGGAGCAAGGGGGTCCCGGGACCTCAATGTCCCAGGGGTACCTCGTGAAGTTTCCCAGGCAGAGCGCGAGAACTGGCTTGTTTCAGAAGTGGGGGGGCAGTTGTGGGACCCAGTCCTTGACCCTGAAAGGAGCAGATGGGGGAACAGAACTCCCGGGTCCTTTCCCGTCATCTTGCCCTCAAGTGGAAGAGCCTGCTGGTGGGCGAAGCCAGATGCTTTATGGAAAGGCAGGAAGGAAAGGACGGTTCTGGCTTGGATTCAGCTCTGGGCACAGGCAGGCGCTTCCCCCTCAGCTTGGGCAGAAGGTTATTCGAGTGCACGACACTGTGAGGTTTCACCCAGAGCACCGCACTTCCAAAGGTGGCCTTGAGTTTGATAAGCAGACCAGATCACGACTGCTGGGTTCGGTATTGTACAACCGCCCCTGTGAAGGGCCAGTGCGCCTCTCCCCTTTTGGGGAGGCGGGGCCACCAGCGGGGGAGGAGCCTCCCACGGCCTCGGGTGCAGGCCGTGTGGGCCACAGGCTCTGCATCCCCGTAGCCCTTGCTGCCACACCCGTGGCAAACGGACCCCGTGGCAAGCGCGCAGAAGAACGCTAGCGTCGCTGAGCCAGAGTTCAAGAGCCAGCAGTACCTTGGGATCCACTAACGCGCCGGCCTTGATGAGGTATTTCACGGTCTCCAGGTGGTTGTTTTCCGCTGCCTCCATGAGGGGTGTCCGCTGGTCCTGAGAGCAGTTGTCTATATTAGCACCAGCCTGGAACAAGACAGAGCGACTGTGACCACCGCCGTTATCGGCTTCTTTGCTGCAGAGAAATCACGCATCGTGATTTCCACATCCTGCGCTACAGAGGAATGTACTGCTTCCTGTGCCCACGTGCCTGGGGACGGGCCTACGAGGCGGCCCGCTTTCACACAGCCATGGGCAGAAGCTAGACTGCAATACACAGGAGGGGTTTCAGTCACAGACGATCCGGGTTCCCACCATCTAAGAAAAGCAGCGGCCCTATAACAAGAACCTGCTAAGATTAGGAACGTCTGAGCCGATTCGGAGGTTTTTGTCAGGAAGGAATTGTGAGCTCTGGAGGAATTCCTGGGAAAGGAATTCTGTAATTCCAGAAGTGCGTCTGCAGCACAGGGTCCTGTGGGTGGCTCTCGGGTCTCCAGCAAAAGAGCACAGGGAGGCCCTTCAGCACAGAAGGCTTCCTCACGCCAGGTGCAGAAACATCTGGGTTCCAATGCAAGAGGAGCGTTTTCTGCATGAGAACCATTATGCGATCACCAACATATTCCAGTTGTGGAGAAAACCCTCTGAGTGGCTGCAGGGCTGTCCCCTGGCCTAGTTCCAAGATGAAGCAGCTCCATGTTCCCGCACAGTTCCTGATCTGCCCTTCTGTAGGGCGAGAATTAGTGCCACCACCGTCAAAGCTGAATCGCTTTGCTCTCTAAAGAGACGCTGGATTCCATGAAACTCGGGATTCCAAGCGACTGTGCTTTCTCTGAACGGGTAAATGCATTAAAAAGAAAGCACGGAGCAAGCCAGAAATGTTTCACCCACGGCAAGAGCTGCCTGTCTCCATATTCCTCCACACCGTGTGCATAACTAGAGCACTGTTTCTGGGAAAAGTTAGGCTTTTATTCTAAGAAGCGTCTCTCAAGTTCACCTCCCATAAAATGAGAATGAGCACAGGATTCCCTGTGCAACAGAACTGAGGTGCTGCAGAGCCCAATGGGATCCAATGGGATGTCACGTTTCCATGGCAGTTTTATTCCCCACCTCAGCCTCCACCTTCTGTTCCACTGCTTTCCACCAAGGGATTAAGGGTGTCGGGCAGCGTTCTCTGCCCCCAGTTTATCCTCACGACAACCCTGCAAAGTAGGGCAAGGCCCTGGAGCGACATCACCCCATTAGGAGATTTGTGGCTGAGCCAGGATTTGAAACTGGTTTCCCTGGTCCCTGGTCTGACCCCCTACCCCGAACTGATGGAAAGTTAGAAGCTCTGATCTTTGAAAGGACGGCTGAAGTCCTCCAGCTCCTTACAGAAATGTGAAAAGGCTCTTCACAGGGAAGGATAGTTGGCTCAATGGAAGAGCATCTTGTTTGGGATGCAGGAGGTTCTGCCTTCAATTGCAGGTCCTTCCAGATAAAGCTGGGAAGGGCCCAGTGAAAACCCTGCGTGGCTGTTAGCCCTGTTAGCAGATCAGTAGCTCCACGAAGTGATGGGCTGAATTGTGCTAGGCAGCTCCCCACATCTCCGAATTGGCACTTACAGGGGTCCCGGGTGAGTGTTACTCGCTCCCAGAGGGGGTTGGATTTTGCAATACATTTCTCATACCCTAGAAGACTTTTGGTATCCCTTTAGTAAAATAGGAGCAGCCCAACAACTCTGCTGGTGGTGGACTGGCCAGGGGCTCTTTGGTTGGAGTTGGAAAAGGCAGGGTAGAGATGGTCAGGCAGCTGATGGAAAAGCAAAAACGAACAAAGGATGGACCTGAACCAGCATATGGCAAACATCGACGTGTCCGGACTCTGCAGCTGCGTGGAGGGGGCTTCTCTTATTCTGGTGCTCCATTTTGAAGTTGGGGTCAATCCCGTCCACTGGAAAAGAAAACACAGACATTTTCCAGCTGAGAGAGAGAGGTACAGACACGAAGCAAATCCACAGTGGGAAGACGGGAAGGAGAGAGGGGTGTGAGGGCTGTCTCTAACGCGGGGGTGAGACTGGATCCCAAATCTTGATCGTCTTTGCTAGCTCAAACGACTAGCTCTGTCTGCGTACCAAGCTGTGAATAGACCACGTGACTTGGCAGAACAATCCATGGAGTGCCCAGCAGAGGGTGGGATTCGTCGTGGCTTCTTCTGTCCCTCCTTCCCCGGGCCCTCTACCTCCCTCACAACAAAACCTGTCTGGACCCTGTGCCACACCTCCTCCCATGCACCATCAGGGGCTTTGTTTCACGTTGCTTTCCAGGGCCTCAGACACACTTATTTTGCTTATTTTCTGATTTCAGAATTTGCCAAAACAAGACAACTCCTGTTTCATTTCCCTTGATTTAACTTTCCAGGAGAAAAATACACAAGTGATAAACTAAGTGCTTTTTAATTGTCTTGGATTCCAGGAGCTTGATTTTGTGCCTGCAGCCTTTGTTGATCAAGGAGGAAGCTTGTGTAATGTCCAGAAAAGAAACTGAGAGGTCACACAGTCTTCTCAAAATACATCCTAAAGTCACAGCATGGCACCATCCGAACTAGAGCTCACTCAGAAATACAGTTTAGAAGGCTATTATTTTCGTGCAATCATGGAGAAGTTGCATTTATACTCTGGTATGTCGTGCCAAACCAAAGGGAACTAAAGAAATGTTTACAGCCGCTGAATGAATGGATAAACAAGACTAATAGAGACATGTAAGTCTTAGCAGACTATTTCCACATGTTGGAACAGCTTTCCTTCCCTGCACTTATGTTTTCAGTCTGCCCGAGATGACAAAAATATATCAAAGGCCACTCAGTCTCCTCTCGATCCTGTTTAAGCATTTGTCTTCCAAGTGTTTTTTCCCCTGATCTAGTTTTTATGCATGACATTCTGAATGAATTGATGCGTCTGTTAGAATATCTGCAGAGGAAGCGTTACTACTAAGGGCAGAGAAGCATATTGGAAGGTACAGGAGAAAAATGCAAAAGCCATTTTAGGAAAACTTGGAGGACGTTTTAGAAGTAATAGGCTCAAATGTAAACCCAGTTCTGCCACCTTGACAGATAAGTGCTGGACGTAACTGTTCTTTGCCCTGCCTTCATACCAAAACTAGCATTGAGGGTGGATTATTTACTGAAATGTGGAAGCAGCCCTCATGGATCCAAAATCCAGAGTTACAAAACCGTATCCATCAAGATGCTATGCAACGGAAGTGGTTTTCCAGAGCTCCCACACACTGTAAAGGGAGCTCTGGTGTCACGTTTTGGACAGTTCAGTCCATGAACCTGCCCCTTTCTTTCGCGCCTCCCTGCTCCAATTCCTAGCAGAAGTTGACGCTTTCCTCCTCGGCCATTTGGGGTAGTCTAAGTCAGAGTTGAAGCCAGTTCGACACATTCGCATCTTGTGAAATGTAGGAAGGGGGAGAGCAGCAGAGAAGGTGCCATTTTCTCTCCAGTTATCTGCCTTCGGGGAATTCCTGAAGACAGCTGCGTTGAGATTTCTGCTCCATACGCCAGCGAAAATGAGCCCCAGACACGCTCTACCAGAAGTCCCGGCCTGTTAGAGATTACAAGCATGCGGGTTTCCAAAACGGTTTCCAGGATGCAGATCCAGCTGCTAAGAATGAACAGCTGGATACTGCCAAAGCAACGCATTCAAATGCAGTTGTGTGACGGGGGCGATCGGAAGGGGCGGTGAGCAAAACTACCTGCTGACAATGAGCTCTCGGTGACGAGTGCCATGCCAAACAAGTGTCAGAGACGCCACATGAGCTATGCAGGTATCTTACCACTCATAAACCAGGGGAGCACTTAACATATAACACACCTGGCGTGGTAAGTGATTGACTTCAACAGCACTGATTAGAAAGATCAGGTGGAAGAAGCCACTCGAAGAAGCCACAGGCATTGTATCAATGTAAAAGGTTTGTCTCAGTTTGCAGATTGCCAGGGGCTGTAAATTTAAGGTGGGGGGGGGAAGAGTCCCTTGCCCAGGGGTCAAGGTCAGCTCTCTGGTGTTTGCCAAAACACCACCCCTCTCTACTGTGCCTAAACCACCCCCCGCCCCACACACACACACACACACCCCAACTGTTGGGTAGTTTTCTAGAGTTTTGTAGTTTTTCTCCCATAGACCGCTCCTAAAATGAACTCTCTGACATGAAGAGTCTTAGCCCCAAATGGGGAAACATTCTTGAAGTTCTGGCCACAGCCTTCTTGCCTTTAGTTTCCTCCCCACCGCTGGGAATGAGGTCCCCAAGGAATTTGGCTTAAACAGGGTTTTCACTCTGCAAAGCTTGCCTGAAACTATTCTATCGGGCTGGATATGGGGAAACGCAAGCATGGGGCTGAGGGCGGGGAAAGGGATCAAACTGGTGAGGAAGAGAAGGAATCTTGCAAACCGTTACATGCCGCAGTGGGACAAGAACTGGTGGGCTGCGGTGGCTTGGTGGATCCTTTATCTTCATGTATTTATTGTTTCCCTCCGGGACCTCTCTTCCTGTCTTTATTTCCTTTTATTATTCCTACATTTCACGCAGTCCCACAAGCTAATTTCGTACACGTGAGTGTTTATGTACCTTTCATCTTCAAAGACGTTCACTCTGTTTAGTGAGAATGAATTAGTTTTAAAAGCACTCCAAAGCTCATGAAGAGTGGCATCTGTTTAAGTAGGGGTGTAAAAGCCAGGCTGTTACTGATGTGAAATTCTGAGCAACACACCCAAAGGTACAAGCATAACCACAGACTTATGGACCTGGCCTTATTTTATCCATTTATCAGCCTTGTGTGAGATAAGTTAGACTACGAAAGTCACCCGGTTGGCCTTATGACTCAGTTAGGATTTGGACCTGGGTCCTAATCATGGCACTGCACAAGAATACCTACAGGGCGTTGACCCAACCAGCCATTTTCCCTATCCCTCCTTGCCCCAGAAAAAATCGAGAGGTAATTGCAGACAGAAAAGCCTTTCACTCATGATTCTGTCACTGTTGGGATGAACGACACAACATCTAGCAAGGCATCAAGGGGAAACCTAACGACCCAGCAATTTGAAAGTGGACTGATTGGTGATCGCTGGCCACGTGCACTCCAGCTGATACGACCTTGTCACGGATCTCTCTCTCTCTCTCTCTCTCTCTCTCTCTTTCATCAGTGCAGTTCTTATTTTAGTCACTTGGGCTATCCTGAGTAGAGCCAGAGGAGTACTTGACGACACGAGCCTCGCGGAGACCAGAGAAGAGCGCATACTACAGATAAACGGGATTAACGAGGGGAAGAAATGGCTGGAAATTATGCAAAGGATACGAGAGAGAAGGCAGAGACATGGCACGGCCGAGACCAGAACCTGAGGTGCTTCGGCTGCTCATTTCCACTCCCCCCACACCCCACCCCGTGATTAAGCCAGTCCAAGGAGGACTCGGCTGAGAAAAAAGACAGCCCAACAAGGCCTACCAAGAGAGGCAAGGAAAGGCAGCATGCTGGAGGGAAAGCCACACCTTTCAGGCGGGCCTCACAACTTCACGAACGCACGTCTGAATGCTTCGGAGAGTTCCAGGCGCAGGAGAGCCTGATTAATCCCCATTCTGATGACCCCACAAGTCAACTCTGGGGCTCAAAATACCTTTGTTCTGCCCTCTTCCCCAGCATGGGTGCCGGGTGGGTCTGCCGGAATGCAGCTCCCACCATCCCCAGCCAGCATCACCACGCTGGCTATGGATGATGGAAACAGCAGGCCAACGCTCCCGGAGGGCACTAGTGGGGGTGGGGTTACAGCATCAATTGGGGCAACAGCCCAGTCCAACCAAACGCTCTCTGCTCCGTGTGACGCAGAGAAGAGGAAGCAGGGGAAGACCTTACCCAGCATGAGCAGAACCTTCTGCAGTTCCCCTTGCCTTGCAGAGAAGTACAGCTGTTTGGAGTGAAACCGCAACTTCTTGGGTCTGCCAGAGGAGGAAAAGCATCATTACTAACGTTGCTTCCCAACCTGGAATGCCTTCCTCTCCTCACCTTACACTTAACTGCACAGATAGAGGACACACACCTGGAAAAACCCCCAAGGCATCTTTCGTTCGGTCTTCTACTGCAGCCTTCCCCAGCCTGGCCTCTTTCAGAGGCATTTGGACCACAACCCCCAGAATTCCCATCCAGCAGCGCCATGGACTGGGAATTCTGGGTGTTGCAGGCCAAACATGTCAGGATGGCACAAGGTTGGGGAAGGCAACATGTCTTGATCAATGGCTGCAGCATCAGTATGGCAGCCCTGTCTGGGCAGCCAGCTGCGACACAGGTGAGCCTCTTCCACCAGCCCTGCATTATTTCCCGCACTCAGGACCTCTTGAAGCGAGAAGACCCACATCCCCACACAAATGGGAGCCATTCGCAGGCTCAGGAGAACCCCAAAAGTCTGCGGAGGTGCCCAACATCTTTAGAAACCCCCAAAGCAGTTCGAGGAGGACTGAACACATGCTCAGTGGGGATGGACAGCTGGTTGACTTATGGGGAAGATGGGCGGAAAGGGAAGAACTGAGCTGGACACCATGGCTGGTTCTGCAGCGCACTCTTTCTCTGCAAAGCATCCTTGCCATTCAGCTTATCCATGGAAATAAGCTCCTGTTTGTGACATTTCTCTTCCCCCACCAAAGAAAACTAATTAAAAAATTGCTGAATCAAATGACCAGACCGTCTTCGGCACTATGGAAAGCCTTTATGCACCCAGGCCTTTTTATCTGTAAGCAGCCTGTGGGTTTTATTTATCTGTTCTGCTGAATGTTATGGCTTCTTATTAATGGCTGCTTTCTGCCGTTTTGATCTATTTAGACCACCTTGTGTTTTCTTACTGTTTTAATCATGGTTATAAGCTACCTCGGACATTTTTATAGGAGCAGGGTGCACAAATGTAAACAAACGACGTCTAGACATGTGGATCGGGGGCGGCTTCATTGACCAAAGCACCATGTCGACAGTGTTACATCAGTCTTAGGCCAAGAAGATTTTGACAAATTTGTTGGACAAATTTGGTAACGCTGGCCTGAAAAATAGCTTGGCATGCAGAACCAAGACTTCACGCACTCTTTTAGAGGGAAAGCAGAGTTCAAGGTACCTAGTTTATTATTTTTTTCCTTTGGGACCCAGAGGTCCAGCAGCTAGAGAGAGATCCAAGCCGGAAGCTGGAAGGATTCGAACTGGTCACAACACGGTGTGCACACTGGGAGAACTACAACGCCCTCCCGCCACCCTCAGAAAAAAAAACTTGACATCTGAGATCGGATGCTCTAACAATGGCTTCTGTGGACTGTTGGGGAGTTGGGTTCTTACTTTTCTGAATCGAGGGCAATCAAAGCACTTTCCAAGGTTTCTTTAACTGGTCCCTGAGATAAACCAGTTGGGGCAGGTTTAGGAAAGGCCGACGTCCCAGCCAAGTCAAAACCTTCAGCAGATGAGCTCTCCGATCTACCTTCTTCAGATGGCTGCGTTCCCGTCCCACTGTGACCAAGAAAATAAAGAAAGGAGAAGATGCCAACTCTACAACAGTTCATACCATTTGCATCTCTTGCATCAAGCAAGGAAAAAATACAGGCTTTTAAAATACCCCAACGGCTTCTACGAATCCATAGCAGCACTGCAAGTAATTTTGTGACCCCTCCATTCAAGTCGCCCCTCTCCTCAAAGACCTTTCAAGGCAGGCAAGAAAACCAGGCGGAACATCCTCAGCAGACGGCTTCACTTCACCCTGCAGGCAGAACAGCTTGCTTGCTTGCTTGCCCCCGATCTAAAAGCAACCTACAGCAGAAAGTCGGCACAGAAGGTGCTCAAACATAGATCTGCTCTGCATGTAACCACCACCCTGGGGCTAAGGAATCAATGGATTCCCAACTGCTCACCCAATGGCTCCTCTGAATTCCCAAATGAGCCTCTGCCTCATTCCCAGATTACACGTAACCCAGCAACACCTGGATCTCTGGGCCGTTGGGAGAAGCAACCCAGCATCTCAACTCGTGCTCGTGAAACATGCGATCCCTTCACCTATCAGAGGAAGTGATACAGTCCGAAGAGGAAGCCAAGCGCTTATTGGATCTTCCCACACATGTTGTCTGAAGGTAGGAAGGTCCTGGAGGTCACAACTGCACAGCTTGATCCTGCAACAGAAGCATCCCTCTTCCGTGCTGCAGTTGGAGCTCCCAAGACACGCTGTGCTGAATGGGGTGATGCGGTAGACAAACGACGGCCAAGCAACGGGGGCCTTGTGGGATCCCATGGGTAGCTGGGTGGCCGTGCTATGAACAGAATGCTGGACGAGATGGACCGAGGCCTGCCCTGCTCTTGCGCTCTTCTCCTCTCCCTGGAGCTGACTTCATTTCTCAGCCGAGGAACTTCAGCTGAGCTGAAGGACTTACGCCCATGGAAAAGCCAGTAACAATGGTGCTAGGAATCTGGGGGTGGGGCCAGGATGCCCCGAGGGAGCCCCTTCCTTGCCGCTGTTGCCCATTTTCTCCCCCTCCCAGCCTGACGAGCATCACTTCCCAGGAGGAGGATGCAAGACCGACGACAACGAATGTGCCCACTCTTTGCTCGGATTGTGCCCCGAGGCGTGGAGAGGGCGGGCAGGTAGGCCAATGCAGCACGATGGGCCACAAGCGAGGGCAGATGACTGGGCAGCCCACGGCGGGGCACGTGCCCCGGCGAGCGAGCGCCCGCGACCCCAGCCCTTGGACTTGCCTTCCGGTCGTCGTGTCTGCCCTGCCCTCCGAGGGGCCGGGCTTCTTCGGCTCGTAGGTCAGCAGAAGCGTGGAGGTGGTGTCCGCCTTCGCCACAGTCACTTCTTTCGCCTTGGAGGCCTCCTCCCCACAGTGGGGGCAGTAGCTCAGCCCCTTGACCTGGGAAGCGCAGTCCTTGTGGAACCGGTGGGAGACGCTGCTCTCCGGCTGGCATTCCATGAAGGTCCCCTGCAGAGGGAGACGCAAAGAAGGCACGTTCACACCCGGCAGACCGCCGCGCCCCGCTTCACCTGGGCATCGGAACATGCCCATGTGCGGCATGTCCATGCACGCACACTGTCTCTCTTCGGGACAGCTACCGTCGAAGGGCTGAGAAACCCAACACTTAGCCAGCCACAAGCAGATCTTGTGAAACAGTCCAGCTGACCGTCTCCAGTCCTCACATCTAGTAACTCTTCCCTGGCGAATTCGTAACTGCTAAAAACTGAGCCTATGGTGCATTCGCTTCGGTGGGGACCCCCTCAGTCCCTCCCTTCACACTCTCTTTCTCTCAGCGCATTCCTCCACCAAGCACCAAGGACCAGAAAGGGCCCCCTAGTTAATCACATCCTTCATATGCCTGGCTTATTACAGATGGGTATTATTTATTTAATTTCCATGGCACCCCATAGCCGAAGCTCTCTGGATGGTTTGCAACAGTGCATGAAACGGAACAGTAAAATGCAGTACAAATAACATAAAGCAGCACTGTTCAAATAGCTTAGAATATGGTATAAAATACAATTAAAAGGCCTAGCAAGGAGAAGAATCAACAGGATGATCAAGGAGATCTTTAAAGGTCTCCACACACAGGACTTCCTTGAGCTGGTGCCAAAATGGTCCATGTGGTGCCAGGTTGGCCGCAGCAGGGAGGGTGTTCCGAGGAAGGGAGTGGAGCACGCGCTTGACTCTCCAGTTGGGATGCTGGCACAGCAAAGCAAGGATGAAATCTGGGGGTGCTGCTACGTCCTTCGAAGAGAGCGTCGGCAGAAAAGCAAGCTTCCAGAAAGGTTATAGTTGAGAGGCGTGGCTAGAACGGAATGGCACTTCCCAGCAAGATGCGAGAAAGGCGTGACTGGATAGAGCATCCAGCCAGAGGGTCGAGCAGGTGCCGCCACTCACAGGTTTGGGGGGCTCCCTCCCCTACCGAGACCCAACCATCCTAGATCTGCACCTTGTCCTCTGGGATTTCTAAGCCCCAGGGGAAACGGAAGCTCAGCACTGGCACCGTTAGAGCACCACCCCAGTTAAGCCGGGCTCTCTGCACCCCAGGGGGGGGAAGCGCTTTAACGCACCTCAGTCCAGATGTCCCTTGTAAGACTCCCAGCAGGGAAAAATCATCTCGCCCCAGTTTTTCCAGCAGACCAGGTGGCTTGATCACAAAGCGCTTTGTCGCATGACCTTTCAAAGTCTCTGAATGCTTCTCGCACTACAGACGTCAACTTCGTTCGAAAGAGCTGACAGAACGCGAGAGAGGCCCTCGGAACCCAACCGGCTCGTGCAGGCAGGTGTCAGACGCACAGCGCAAACCCAGCAACTGCATCATGTATGGAAACCATCCAAAAGCTGCTTTTCTTTTCGCAAAGAAGCCAAACCGACTTCAACAACACGCTGCACGGCGAGGAAGAAAGGGCGACCTAAATCCAAAGCTACTCTGTGCAGCCCCTGAAGGCAGCACCTTGACCGTGTGAGCTATCACCGTGTGGGTGACGTGGATGTGGTCACTGCAGCTGGACAACTCCTTCAACAAGGCACAGCGGACCATGAACTCCTCCAGATATTCTTCAGTGACAACTCCCATCATCTTCTCCCACTGACTCTTTTGGCTGGGGCGAAGGGAGCTGAAGCCCCAGAACATCCAGAGGGCTACAGATTCCCCAGGACTGAGCTAAAGAATTGCCCGACTTGCTTTTCTCACTTCACATCACACTATTTTTCTTCCTCACACTTTGGGGTGGAAGAAAAAGGAAAATTCAGGGTTTCAGAAATCCTGCAAACTGTACTTCAAAGCTTGGTTTTACTCTCTCCCATTCTCATTTGTGACCTGTTTTCTCAGTTTGCTCCAACGGGAAGCTGCATTGTTCAAACACGTGCCCTGTATATCTGAAAATGCAACTATTTAAAAACCCTTACCTTAAAATGCACAATTTCCATTTCTCTCCATGAAATGCGAGTTATTTAAGCATGCATTTCTAAGGGTGCGCACTGGAAAAGTGCTCACTTAAAGGGATGCATTTTTATGTGTGAATTTTGTCAACATGAATGCTTGGGGTTGCCAACAAAGCCTCGGCGAGTGATCTGTAGACTCAAACAATTTTTGTGTCCCCCTAAGTAGCACCTCAAGACACGGCAGGGAAAATGCAGCCGAATTCAGTCTGGAAATACAACTTGTAAATATTTTGGGGGGGCCCAGTTTAACAACAAGGCCTTGCAAACGGAGAAGGATAAAGAACTGGCACAAGGGAGCACCCCGACACCCCAGCTCTAAAGCAGGCTTCAGTGGGGAGATGGAAACACCTGCCAGGAAGGACATGGGCACCTTGCGACCTCTCCCTGGTGCGCTACATTGATCAGGTCAGGTGGAAGAACGGCCCACCAACGCGTCCGCCACGTAGTTTCAGGTCAGGGGAAAGAAGGGGTGTCTTCCACCACAGCTGAGAGACGTCAAGGTGCCCAGATGCTATGACAGCAGCTGGCTTTGAAAGAGGGCTGCGTCCCATTCATGCACAAGGGCCCCTGATATTGATTGCACCCGACTCCTGCATCCAACACCCAGTTCAGAAGCGATGCCCATGAAAACAGCAGGTGCTGAGGGGCAACCGTGGGAGAGAGCTTTGCCTTCCTGGCCCCACTGGGAGAGTTCCTGGAGGCCATCGTGGGAAGGTCAACCAGATGGCTTTCTGGCATGAGCTCTGAGGACTTCATCTACCCTTCGGCCACCCTATCGATGCAGCACAGACGCATGGGCACCCTCTCCCTGCCCCGAAGGGAGGACACAAAGAGCCCGTTCTTGATTGGGTTGGCAGTGTTTTTAAAGTACGTCTTGCTTTACATCGGTCCTGATATTGTACTGCCTGCATTTCTGTGTCAACCACATCCAAGGAGTTGACACGGAGCATCGCACTCTTGCAAACTACATAAATAAGAAACACATTTCCTCCCACAAATCTTTTGTTTCTACCTGGCACCCTCTCCAGGAGTTAGGGCCAGCACCTCTCATAACTGTTAAGCATTGGCTATGACACCTGGGGCTGATGGGACCTGTGGCCCAAACCATCAGGAAGGCAGCAGACTGCCTGGTCTTGTACTAGCAGTGGTGTTGTTCCAGTCGAGTGTTCAACAGACACTGCAAGACACCTGCCTGCAAGGGGCAGCTTTCTCCCAACTAAAAGATATTTTGAACCCGCATTTCCAAAGACCTGCTTTGACAGCGCCTGAAAGCCCACGTCGCAAAACCGTCGTCCTGCCTGCCTACACTGTTAAAAAGAAGAGAGCTTTTTTTTACTGGGTAGACCACAAGAAATGTAAATGGAATAAACGATGCACCGCCAGAGTTCAAGAGAAGAAGGGGCGGAGACGGCTGTTCCTCCCCTTCCTGCAAACTCCAACGCCCTCCCCGGGGGCTCACCGCTGCACAAAAGAAGCCACAACCAGGGCAGCACTGGTGCTTCACCATCCTCCCTCTGTGGTCCTCGCACAGCACCAGGAGCTGGACTTTGTTGGAAGGACGCATCAGCTCGTTCTTCAGCACACGGTTTGTGCATCGGCTCAGCTGGAGGGGAGAAAGGGAGATGCCAATCTTGGACGCAGAGCCCAGTAGGGCAGGGCAGGGCAGGGCAGGAGGGAGGGAGAGACAGACAGACAGACACTTTCATAGCAAACTGTGTGATCTGAGAGCAATTTCACTCACTGCACTGGATGAGTTGCGGCCTTCTTGCAGCAACTCAAACGCGCACCAAGCAACCTTGGGAAAAACTGCAGCAGAGAAATACTCCACTCTGTTCTCAACCACAGATCTGCAGCCAAGCAAAAGCGACGTGCCTTCAGAGCCAGAAATGCAACCAAGGCAGTTATGTCGGCACACGACTCACGCAGCCACTGCAAAGCGCCTAAACTTGGGCTTGCTAAGAAGCCAAGTCAGAAGCTTGTTAAGAAGCCAAGCAGAAGTCCCGTCCACTTGGGTGTCAGCATGAAAAGGTCTCCGCTCAAGGAAAGGATCCGTCTTAGCACTGGTCCCGATCCGTGAAGGCTCCTGGTTCTTTCAAAATATGAGGCCTCTGTCACCTGCGTGAAGCATCACTTTGGAAGAAATCCTGAGCCTCCCTGACCATGTTTCCGTGGCTCTCTTCTCACTCCTACCACGGAGGTTCACCACTGCATGCCCAGATCAAGGAAACCATTCGGTTGTGCAACAGTTATTCATACACTGCTGTATTTGCATACTACTGATAACTAGGCTCAAACACAAAATGACAAATTTCCATGGGTATGGCCCTAATTACTTGTGGGTTCCGTTTGTGGCTTCAGCGCTGGAAGCGTCCAGGTGAATCAGACCTGGGATTCCACGCCAACAGCAGCCGATCACTGACCATTAATACCTCTGCACTGGCGCATGCAGGAACCTAGTGTGGGTTCCCAAAACTGCCAAACGTTTTCCCGTCCGCCTCGCTTAACCTCATTACCGGCAAAGCCATTCTATTTTACAACAGAACGCTACAGCTAAGTAACCACATGGACAAAAAGGAAAGGATGCAACTTGCGCTTCGACATAAAAATTCAAACTTCCTTCATCGTGACCAGTGTACGAAAGGTACCAGGGTCACTGTCACCGGGTCGCTTGCTTTCCCAAATACAGCAGCTCCCAGTTCAAAGAGCCAAACGATGCCCAAGCCTGATCATCAAGCTGCGGACACACCAACTAAACCCTGGAGGAAAACGCATCTGCCAGTTATCTCCTGACTACAGACCTTTGTTAGAGGTTGGCCATCCTGGCAGGGGCTAACTGGGAAACCAGAAGCACTAACCAGATTCCCAGTATCGGAAGACTGTTCTTTGATCACTGAACAACATTCAGTGGGAGTAGTTTCATGCCAGAAACTTTCTGGAGGCAATACAAAAAAGAGGGATAACAGAAGGGTAACAGAGGCAAAGAGAAGACTGGATCGATGCGCATGGCGGGGGACCAGGAGGCCTTCTTTGCAAGGATCTCATCCTTGCACGGAGATCTCTTGACGAAGCCAAGATGTTGACTTCGCCCCACTCTGGGACCTTAGCGTACGTATTGGAAGAAACCAACGGATCAGCCTTTCCAACCAGCCTGGTTGTGTGTGGCGCTCCGGTTGCTCATGGCGTTGCCCCCAAAAAGACTGACGGGGAAGGAGGGGAAGTGCCACACGCACCTCTTTATCCACGCTTTCGGTTGCCATGCACTGGTTGTTGGCGAGTGTCGTGATCTCCCGGCTTTTGGGCGTTTCCATTCGACAGCTACAGAGAGGCACTTCCTGGAGACTGTCCGCTTCCATTGCTCCCGGGCCATTGGAAAGACCTGTGTGGACATGGAGGAGGAAAGGAAGGCAAACCAGGCAGTGAGTGAGAAGAAGCGCATTGCTCCAGACCGAGCAAGCAGCGCACGGATGAGGCAAATGACCCATTCCCCCCGCCAGCTGGGACATGGAACAGCTTTCGGGAAACTGGGCAGCCAACTTTTGCCAGGTGAGCTTTTCATCTGGCTCTAAACCATCAGCACGGGGAGATTGGGCCAGAGCCAAGGCTGGCAGGTCTTTCGGCAAAAACTCAGACAGCACCAAACAAAGGCGGATCCACACAGCTCTTGGTGGGCGTCATTTTGCGACCTCGCAGAAGCATGCATGGTGCTTCTACAGCTGTATAGGATGGGAAAGGGGCAAGGCCAAGCAGAGAGAGTCCCCTGGGTAGGATCCATTCCACCATGTTCCTCTTCCCCCTGAGCAAGCTCGGAGGAGCTGACCCAACGAGCTGACCCTTCCTCCACCCAAGCAAAGTTTTGTGTTTTAGAAGTAAAAAATCGCAAAGAAAATGTTTAACTAGATAAGGAGACCGTGTATCTGAACTTCTTAGTATTATTGCTAAAAAAGAAGGTTCTGTCTGAAGAAAAAGTGCAGGATAGAAAAATCGACACTGGAATCAGAGCGAAGTGTGAATGATGGAAGATGAGGGAAGGAAGGTCGCCACAAGGAAGGAAAGCTTTCACTTCTGTGGAGAGAGAAAGCCTTCTGCTCCCTCAATTATTCAGAAAAGCCACTGGGCTCCTACTGTGCATAAGTCCATATTCGTACAGGGTCAGCTTCTCTTAGCTTCAGGGGCCTTTCTCAAGGAAAACCAGGGAGTAGCTAAGGGTTTTTTCAGTGGTTACGGGAAGTTCTCCCCACAGAGACTTTGCCCAATTCTAACATTGTGATCTAAAATACCTAGGAACATACAAGGCCTGGTAAAGATCCTATTTCTACTTCACCAGGCATTTTAATTTTCCATTTTTTCACTTTCTAAAGTGCATTTGTGTACTTTAAGATCATTGCACTGCTGTTGGCTTTCACTTCTTTTTAAACTAGTTTTATCTCGCTTTAATCTTTTTTTAAAATTACATTATGCTTTATTATGACCTAAATAAATAAAAGTATCCCTGTAAAATCACGGACACCTGAAACTTTCTGTTGGAAATCGCCACATTTGGTGTTAATATTCATCAGTTCATGGTGGAATGATTCAGAGACCGGGGCTGCTAAAAATGGTTAAGCTGCTCCAGCGTTTACTGGCAGAGGTTTTCAGCTGCTGCCATCGGAGAGTAACATACTGGTCACAGTACTGGTGCTTGCTTATTTCTTAATCAATAACCTAGGTCTTTTCAAGCTCCTCTCTAGCGGCAAAAACCATGGGCAGGCACTTTTAATATGCATCATTAAGGCCAACGTGGCTCCCACAATGCCCCAGAAGGCTTTGCCTTGTGCCAGAGGACACTGCCAAAATTCCCAGCATTTATTAATTGCATTTGTTTAAAGGGCGTCCATTAACATCATGCAAGCATTTATCTGAAAGCAAGACTACCTCTCTGCGACACGTTTCCATCATGAGAGTATAATGTTCCTTGAAAGGTGAGTGATATATTCAAATGTATTATTAGACGACAGTTGAATCAGCACGGTTCTAACAGATGGGTATGAGCTGACACGCTGTGACTTGGACAGAACCTTTCACTAACCTTACTAGGAAAAGGTGAATTTTTCCCAGCTGAACACAGGAAAGGCAAGGAGGTATTTCAGGCAGGGAAGCTGGGAAGCATAAATGCTTCCCGGACAACTGTCCACATGTCCCACTTATGACAGAAATGACATGCTATTTTGGAAACAGATTGTAAAAAAAGAAACTTTCAAATTTAAAATAGTGAATCTGAGCAAAGTGGCATATGAGAGGCTAACAAAACAGGGAATCTCTGTTACTATAAAATCATAGCTGGAAACTTTGGGGGGGAAACAACTAAATGCTAGAGAAGATTCCATCAGCAGAAGTACCATATAAGCTAAAAGAAGAAGAAATTATTTCAGTGTAAGAGGCAATATATGGAAACTTCAAAACCAAACACTGGGTCTCACGAGATGTCGTGTCTGTTCTCACGGGGTACTGAAGCACCTTTCTTGGCTTTGTTGAGCTCTGATTTACAAACTCAGAAATGCAAGCGGGTGAAATATTTCAGTGCCTGAAAGTCAATGCTGCCAGACCTAAACTTGGAGTGCTTCAGAAATGTGTTCTGTTGGTAACAATAAGTGTCTTCTGCTTATGTCCAATACTCTTTGATATCAGATATGAGCTGTGTAGAAACTGCTTAAGATTTTAAAATAAGCGATAAAAAGACACGACTGATCTCAAGGCCCTCTCTCTAAAAACTCTGTGTATAGATACCAAGAATTCTGCAAATTTTCAAATTCCATGGTGACACTGTGCCTGGAGCAAGTGTCGGCATACGCCACCCGCCAATCCATGATCGAGCTAAATACAGAAATTCTGTACTGTGACTTCCCAGACAAGAGGACAAATACCGCTGGGCTGACCTAGCCAGATGGACAGATTACAAGGCAGTGCCAGAGTCAAAGCAACCCTTTTAGCAGTGAAAGGACGAGGGGCTGCCACGGATTTCTGCATCCCTTCTTCCTCATTTGTAGCCCAAGCGCAAGGCACCCTGCCCGGATCGCGAGATCCTTTCCAGGCTGGACTGCAGACACATTCGAGCAGCAATCCCGTGAGGTCTTGAGCAGACGAGACGCCTGCATGGAGCAACCCCACGGGGAGACTCCGTCTTGTCCGCAGCATGGCTGCCCAGCATGGACCAACGCTGCACCCCCTTCTACTTGTCTTGGGAAATCTGCCTGCACTCTTTGCCTGAAAATAGCTGGGAGTCTCAGAGGCCAAGCCGGAAGGGCTGGAGGAGCCTGGGGGTGGAGTGCTTAGAACACCCAGACATGCCCAAGGGGGCAATCACAGGGAGACCCGAGTGGCCACAGCTTTCTCCTCTGACTCGCCAGCAACAGGCTAATGGAAAGTTTTGTGTGCCGCATCCCCTCCCTCCCTCCACCCACCCCCACCCCGCAGCACGGCCCGCTTTGCTCTCTGCTGGTCTCTCCATTTGAACCTACAGTGCCTTTCCCCCGCTCTTGAAGCAACGCCGGCCTCTTCACATTCTCCTTTTAGCAGCCACCAGGGGGCATCGTCTTAATACAGAGAAATGAATCCAAGGAAACAAAGAACCAAAATGGTACATGGTACATATTTAGAAAGCTGACACTCACCTTCTGATTGCGAAGATAGAATTCCCTTTACTCGAAGATCCAAGGAATCCAGAGAGACCTCCATGTACTCCATGCTATTCTCCTGCCTGGCTCCTTCTCCACTCCCCAAAGGTTGCTTATAGGCTTCTGAACCTGGGTTTAAATATATATATACAAATATTTAGATACCAGAAAGGAACTATGCATGTGTATGCATCTCTAAAGGCCCCATTCATCTCTGGCAGACAGTATGCAGGCTTCACGCTGAAGGATTTGTAAATACAGATGCTGAGAGAATCATGAAAAGGTAGGCGCTAGGTCAATTGATCTTGCAGCCCCTACTTCCTTCTCTGCCTGGAACGAGCAGATTCTCCCTCTTGCACAGTTAAAAAGGTTGTAGCCACCAGGAACACAATCGGGAGAAGTCCTCTCTTGCAGACACATCTGTCTGCTGCTGCGCTGCACTAGCCACGGAAAAGTACATGGCAAGAGGAAGGAAGGGAAGAAGGAACGAGAACCTGCCGCCCCTTGGCTCACGCTACCCCGATGCAGAAGACTCCAGATCCAAGCAATGCTGAAGAAGCCAGTAATGTACAATGAGATGAAGGGGGCAGAAGACATCTGGCTCAATGCAAAAGGAAGGTGGAGTGCCAATCACAGGCTCTCAGCGAGCAAGGCGGTCTCTGCTAATGGAAACTAATGTGGGAACCTCTCTGGGAGATTAATGCGTGCCTCTTCCCCATTCCTCCACTCACTCACTCACAGACACACAGGACTCCCCGCTCCCCCAAAAAATTCCTGCCAGGAAGGAAGGAAGGAAGGAAGGAAGGAAGGAAGGAAGGAAGGAAGGAAGTTAACCAGACAGTACAACAGCAAGAGCTGATTGGTCACCTGGCCACTTCATCCGCCCGAATCGTCCAATCCCCCATCATCCAATCCAAGAGGAGGAAGAAGCACTCCGGAAAGATTTCAGGTACCCCCATTGGAAGCTCGGAGGCCTGAATGCTGTTTATTGCTCAACACTGGGAGGCTACGGCAAGGGAGGGATGGAGACGGCTCCGTGGATCTTGGGCAAGCGGAGGGCAAAGGTGAAGCCCTGCGAAACCCGGGCTCTCCAGAAGAAGGGTTGCTTCCAGACCCAGGGAGGAGGCAACCTGTTTCATCCGCTTCCTCGCAGGGGTTGGCCTGCGTCATCCCCCAGACAAAGAGGCAATGTGCGTGGAAGACGGGAGGAAGGAATCTTGCCCTGCCCCGAGGGCTGCAGCTTGCCCACCTCTGCGCGTCGTGAGACCGCACATCAAAACGCCAGGCAGGGAAGGTCCAAGCAGCCTTACTCCCGCTCCGTTACTCCCTGACGAGCGCGTTATGAGTGCAGGCACTGCCCACGGGACACCCCGCAGGAGTTCTGGAGCACATCTCCCATCAGCCCCGCCAACGGGCGGGGATTATGGGAGGAGGAGTCCAGGACACTGGTGGGGCTCCAAGTTGCCTTGCCCAGCCGGGAGAGTTACTTCTGAACGACACGTGTGTAAATGGGAGCAGGATGGGGATGGTGGGTGGCCAGGTCCTTCTGTCCACTCCCCAACTCAGAGCTGCTGCCACAGCTGATGCATGCCAGCCTTGTCTCTTGGTTCACCCCGTTTTTATTTATTTATCCTATTGTTTACCCTGCCTTTCCCCCCACAAAGAATCCAAGGCAGCTCACATAATCCTCCTCCTCATCCGCTCAACAACCTTGCAAGGTAGGTGCAGCCAAGGGGCGGGGACTGGCCCGAAGTCACCCAAAGGCGTGTCATGGCCAAGCGGGGAGTAGAACCTGGATTGCCCAAGCCCCTGCATGGACTGAATTTGTTCCCTGGGCTTTTATTTGGACCCCTGAAGAAACAGGGATCCATCTTCCCCACTGTAAATGAAGTGGCGAAGCAGGGAAGGAACAGAGGACAGAGGCGGGCAGCCAGGGCTCTCTTTGAGGAAGCCAGAATACACTTCTCATCCTGGCCAGCCACAGGCCATGATGGGTGGAACCGCCCACAGCCACAGTTCAAGAACTCCGGAGGGCCCGGACGTGCCTACCCTTTGCTCCGGCTCCCTGCTGAACACCGAACGCCACAAAAGCCCGAAGCGTGCCCAACGGTTCAATTACCTAAAGCACCTCCTTGTTTCTTTTTACTTCTCCGCCGCCTCTTCCGGGTGGGCTTCAGCCAGGGGCTTTCCGTCTTCCCCTTCTTCTTCATCATCTTCCTCTTGAGGCAGGATTCTGAACTCTGCAAGACCACATCTGCTTCAGGGAACGGGATCAGGACCTGGCCCGAGCCGCTGCGGCCCCTTGGGGCCCTTCTCTGGTTGAGTGGCACACCCCGCGCTTGGCGGCACAGCCGTTCCACAAATTGCCCCTCGGCTCTCGCCCCCTGCCGAAGGTTTCGTGCCAAGGTGGCGCGTAAGCTTGGAGAGACAAAACCTCCCGGGTTCGGAAGCACACCCTTTGGGTTTCCCTGGTTGTGGGAAGGCTGTGTGGATAAAGAAGTACAGGGAAAACGCAGGGAGCCGAGCCAAGCACTGTGCCAAGCGATGGCTAACTCGGCAGAGATCGGCGGACGCAGGAAACGCTCCCACATCTCTCTTATTTTGTATGTTCTTACGCCACGCGATGCTTACTACACAGGGCAGGTGCTCAGCGCACAAACATTCCACTTTTGGCGACCAGCTGTGCCTGAACAAAATATCCCTGCCCCACCCATCCATGCAGGCAACCCTTCCAGGGTGTTGAAACAATAAATCATCATTGAAAATAAACCCAGTTTCTTTCGAAGAAGCCACACAGTCATTACACAAGGGACACCTAAGACAAAACAAAAAAAGCCGGCAGAGAACAAAGCAATGCGACAAACCTGCAAAGATTCAGGGCCCCAGCCGACAGGACTAAAGGGCCGTACTAAAAGACAGCTAATTCACATATGATTGGAGGCATTTCTGCGGGTTTTTCACAGGTCCTTGTCTCCCAAGGACAGTCCTATTTGTATACCCGGATGCATGGGCAAAACAGAAAAAGGTGTCTGATTTCACAACAGCAAAGCAAAACCAAAGCCTCTCAGGCAGATAGATTTGGGGTAGGGGCAACACACAGAGGACAGTTAATCCAGGGGGATCAGTTGGCAACAAAGGTATTTAGGACCCCCCCCCCCCGAGGTGCCCCTGGAGAGCAGGGTGAGGGGACCGGGGGCATCTCAGTGATTTGGGGCCCCAGATGAACGGTCGCGAGCCCAAGCCCTAAGGGAACACCTCTTAACTTCCCTTCTGGCCTTAGCCTCGTTTCCCCATCATGCCCAGGATGCGGAACTTTAATTTCAGTCCACTGACAAGCAGCTTTTGATCCGAGGTAGTTTGTAAACATAACCTTAAGCCGCACGGAACTGGGATTTAAATTAACAAGGAACACAACACCAAAATCACTGCCCGTAAGAATGCTTCCTCCCAGATTCAAAAATACCGGTGTAAAAAAAACTGGGGTTGTTACGTCCACGCGAACCAAGTTAGTTGCCACCCTGGCCAAAATCTTGGCCTCTTAATTCATCCCCTGAAGCCAAAGCAGCCTTGACATTAACTGGCATTGCCCGCAAAAGGAGGGCTACAGGTGCGGCCTCGTCGTCAGCAAAGCGGGGAATCAAAACCCAGTCGGCCAGCTCAGTCTGCTCCTAAATAAAATCCACCCCCCTTGAGGAATCAAGCTTGGGACATTTTAAAGTCACTGACGGAGTCTCGATGCCAACCAGGAGAAGGAGAGGATTTTCCCCAAAAGCTGCGATCCATTTCACTTTCTTAAACAAGCTCAACCTGCTCATTTCAGAACCAAATTCCAAAAATATGATGTAATATCTGATCGTATAACATTTGAATTTAAAATCACACCAGCTAACGTTATAGCCAAGGCTAAACAAAAGGAAAAAATTAAAACCTTTTTTGTCTGCTTCCTGACTTCTGTCAACAAGGAAAATGCCGTTCACGGTACAAACCAGGAACTGTTAGGCAGAGAACTGAACGGGGAGTCATGAAAGGGCAGAAGCCTGCTCCTTTCAGATGTAGTAAAATTATTTTATGTTGACTCCCGGAGAGAATTTTCTGCCTTGAGTGCACAAATAACCCAACCAGCCACAAGCATTCGGGGCCCCATTTCCCTTCTCACTCCAGGCAGCAAAATCGATGGAATTTTTAAGCATGCTTAACTCTATGCACAGTTGAGGCAGAAATATTTTCCTGGCCTGATTACAACCTCAATTCAATATTTTTTACTGCGGGCTCCAGACTATGGGTTGCTCTTCCACATGAGATGCCCTTTGCCCCACCTCTGGTTCTTTTTGAGGCTGTCTTGAAGATCCAGATGTTCCAGCATGCTTATAATCCAGAGGCTGATCTGTATCAACCATTCGGACTGGCATTGCTGAGTTCTTACCTTTAGCCAGTTTCTACTGAAACAAAATATAGAATGTTCACACTGCTGTTTTAAGTCAGTTGCTTTTTCACAGACCACCTTTTAAAAATGATTTTTTAAAAGCCACGCAGAGGGCTTCTTATCCTGAAAAATGGCAAAACAATATTTAAATAAATAAACAGAAGCAGAGTGAGGAGGGAAAAGGTATTTTTAAGCTTTCATGTTTGGCAGTAGAAAAGGATCCTAACGTTGGATAATTCTCCCTTTTTGGAAACTGCTGCATTGTGTTGGGTTCAGCAGAATGTTTGATTTCGTGACTATTTAAATCTCTGCTTTACTGTTTTAACCTCCTTTTCAAGAGCACCATGTCAGCCTTAAAAAACCCTATTTTTTCAGCTATCATGTTGGCATCTGCACAGCTACAAACAACTGGACAGACCACTGCAAAGAATACTTCGCCATGACCCCTGCACAAACTCCATCAGCCGTGCACGGAGGCCCACCTGGTTGTTCTGGCTGCACTAACGCCATGCCACAAAAGGTAAAACGCTTCAGGTAAGATGATGCCCGAGGCTACGGTAGGTGTGTCATATACAACACCGTTTGCCTTAATCCTTGGACCGCGGCAGCATAAAACCAAGAACCAGAAATGCCATAAAGCCACTTATCAAGGTGGACAGCGGTGGTCTGCCAAGTCTATACGGGAAGTTCCCAGGTATGAATGCGTTCCATTCCTGAGAGAATGGAATTTCAAGTGGAATTTGTATGCAAGTCGGATCATGGACTGTCAGCCCTCCACATTAGCGGGGGGGGGGGTTGTTAGGGGCACAGGACCCTCACGGAAGTAGAAAAACTGTGAATGTTTCTAGCCCACCACCGACTCACCAGCACCTCCTCTTTGCACCAAGGAAATGCCGGAGAGATTTATTATTTATTAAAAGCATTTCTATCCCATCCTCTACAAATGTCTCGGGACAGCTTACAATAAATAAAAATAAAACAAACCCCATAGCATCTGACCATTAATATACTAAAACCCCAGTTAGAGAGGCCCGCCTGGCGCCGTCATTATATGTTTTTCGGCGCCAAGTCAAGCCCTTTTTATTTGGTCAATATTTTAATACATAGTAATTTTATTTGTGTAATGACTTATTTAAGTAATGCTCAATGTGGAATAGTTAACTTATCTTATTTTATTGAAGACTGAAGTAATGTTGTAAGCCATCCAGAAACAGCCTACAAATGGACGGCCTACAATTTTTTTTTCAAATAAATAAATAAAAATAAATAAAATCGATTAAACATTAAAATAGTGGGAAAATAGAAAGATTTTCCTTTCTGGATAGGCAGAGCAAGAAGGGAGCTGGGGAGGGGGGCTCCCTCACTCCCCTTTTGCTGCTTCTCTCTATGGTGAAGCTTTGGAGGCCTTCCCCCCTCTCCTTTCACGTCCTCTCTCTCTGTGGTAATGATTTTCTGCAGCAGGTCTCAAATTTTTAAATCGATAGGTTTGATGGCAGTTTGTTAAGTACGGGTTGTTTGTAACTCGGATGTCCGTAGCTCATGGACTGCCTTTAGTAGCTTGCTCCAATCGGATACGCTCCAGATACGCTGACTCCAGTCCCGTCATCTGCAGCTTGCATGGCCAACGGGCAAGTTGAGAACAGACTGGGAAAGGGTCAGGTTGAGGAAGGCTGGGATTGGAAATTGGGCCGTGAGGACACTCCCCATTCCACAACCCTGAAAGTGGAGAGAGAAATGCAACTCTGGGCTTCCGCCAGAAAGAGAAGTGCGCACTGCCAGCGGTGGGAGAGACACACAGTCTGAACCGACTGCCTCGTCTTTGCATCCTTGGCTGTGCCATGTCCTCTTCCTCTCTGGCCAGCCACCACTTCAGCGAAGGAAAAGGCTGCAGGTGCAAGACAGGTGCGCACACAGAGGACAGGCACAGCTGCAGAGGGCACTGGCAGGTGCGACGGAGAACAACCCCCTCTTGAAAGCTTACCTGAAGCTTCGAACAACACCTGTAAGTGCAAGAGGGAACCTTGGCTTGCAGCCTGCCTCAAAGAATATTCCCTTGGCCTCCTTGACTTCTCAAGCAAAAGCCTGGGATTCCAATTTACGATTTGTTCATTTATGTTCCTCCCCTTCCCACACTGTGCCCATTCACTCAGATCTCTCTGGCACTTCCTCATTGGGTTGTCCAGAGGGTTGAACATAAAGAGGGAGTAGAAACAGAGAAACAGAGCGAGTCGGAAGGGGCCTCCTGGGCCATCTAGTCTGACCCACGGCTCTAGCCAGCTCCGCTCATGACATGCCCACCATGTGCATGTCCAGCCTGTCCCCGAACACCCGCACTGATGGGGCCTCAACCACCTCCCGTGGAAGCCCATTCCACACCCTCGGGGTCCTAACTGTCAGGAAGTGCTTCCTGGCACCCAAATTGAGCCTTGGTTTCCTGAGCTTTGCTCCGTTGGAGCGCGCCCTGCCCTCCTCTTCAGGGGAGAACAGGTCTCTACCCACCTCCGTGTGACACCCCCTCACATACCTGTATGTCACCAACAGATCCCCTCTGAGTCTCCTCTTCTCCAGTTCCCTCAGTCCCAAAACTGAACAGTACTCCAATACAGAGCAGATCCCTATCAATGGCTAAAGAGGAAGGCTATGGGATTCCACTGGTTTAAATACCAGATGTAATTCCAGCAACTTGCTTAACACATGCCGATGACACCGCAGAGCAACGAACTCCAACCTCGGTCCCTTCGACTGAAATCCAACACATCAGCCAATGCCTGCCGGATCTGACCCTTCTAGATCTGCAAAGGGATCACGGGAAGGATGGCTGCACTGGAAGCATGTGGAAAACTATGCAGAAGAAGCACCGCGATCCAGGAGGAGAGCGGCGTGTGGGTAAAGCGAGAGAGGAGGAGGCTGCTTTGAGCTGGGGCAACCAGCCCTCTACCTCTCCCACGGAGGGGGTGTCAGTCAGAAGGTGCCAGAGAGCATCCACTGAGTGCATGAGCTGGGGGTGCTGTGCCTCCTGCAGCCCCAGGGGCCAAGCTCCACTTCAGAGGAGTCAGAACAGCTGCCCATTTTAGCGATTTTCTCACTGCCATCAAAGAAGCCTTAGGGGAACCGCTGCGAATTTGGAAGGGGGAAAATGCACAAAAGCCAGGAAGCCAACCCAGGATGGGAAGCTGGGAAAGCAGGTGCGGTCCTCCAGGGCAGCGGTTCCCTAACGGTATTCCGCGGCACGCTGGGGTTCCGCAACAGCCTCGCAGGGGCGCCACGAAAAATCTCAAAGAGCAAACGGATTTTAAAATGAAGGTCAACTATTCGGTGGGCATCCAAGCAGCAAAGGAAACGCATCACGTCATTTGGTTCCCAGGATTCTATAGCGCAGTGCTGGGAATACTCAAAAGAATCCATTTGCGATTATTCCCATATAATTGCTTTAGTCGTTGGATTTAAAATGTTTTCTCTTTATTCCCAAACCTACTGCGTTATGCGAAGTGCTCAGGCGATAGGAGCAGATGAAAGAGGGAAGAACGCTGTGGGTTCACAACGCTTAGTAAAAATCTGAGTTCCACGGAAAAAAATGTCTTCAGAATTGTTCCACGGCCAAAAAGAGTTGGGAACTGCTGCTCTAGGGAACCCTGGAAGGTCAGAATGGGCCAGGGGGCAGCTCTGGCCCCCCAGGCCTGTGGCTTGACACTCCTAGCTCAAAGAGGCCTTGGGTTCCCCTTCAGTCCAAGCAACCTCCGGGTGCCTTTCCTGGGCCCCTGCAGAACTTGGCCTCGGACAGAGTCTCGTCTTGGCCCCGGGGGCAGAACCCAGCTGGGGCCTAACCAAAAAACCCAATAAACTTTTATTATAAAGTGAAATCTCTGAAGATTTGAGAGTCCGCCAACTTTGTGTGATGCCTCGTAAAAGAGAGGAAACCTTCTGTTTCATATAATCATAGAACGGAGCTGGAAGGGGCCAGAAGGCTGTGGGGTCCAACCCCCACTCAGCGCAAGACTCCCAGTTGAACCACCCATCCCAGATGGCTTGCCAGCTATATCCTGAATGCCTCCAGTGTGGGAGAGCCCACCACCTCCCTAGGCCACTGGTTCCACTGCCGTGCCCCTCGAACTCTTAGGAAGTTTTTCCTGGTTTCTGGCCAGAATCTGGCTTCCTGTCAGTTAAGCCCATATTCTGTGTCCTGCACTCTGGGATGGCTGAGAAGAGAGCCTGAGCTTCCTCAGTGTGACAACCTTCCAAGTATTTGAAAAGTCCTATTGTGTCTTCCTGCACACACCCCCTTCCCCCCGCCCCCCATCATCTTTTCTCCAGGCTAAACACGCCCAGCTCTTTCCATGTCTCCTCCAAGAGCTCTGCTCCCAGCCCTCTGGCCATCTTTGTTGCCCTCCATAACCCTCAAACCCATCTTGCACAGCCAGAGGATTTCCGCAGGCCCTCCCCACACCACTCCTGCCGCACGCACGGGGGGGGGGGGGTGGGAGGGGCCCCCCAAACCAACCCCCCCCCCCCCCCCCCCCCCTCCGGAGATTTTCCCCGGGCCCCCCCCCCCCCCCCCCCCCCCCCCGCCGGGGGGGGGGGGGATAGGAAGGGCTCACCAAGTCAGACTCGTCACCATCCTCCTCCTCTTCTGCAGATTCTCCCGAGTCTCTCTCCGCCTCCGAATCTCCATCGAGGATCTGCAGAAACGAAAGGAAACCAAGTGAAAACATACAGAAAGAGAAATAGCTTGCAGGGCGTGGGAAGCCACCTGAGAACGCCAGGTGCTCGATCCATCCTAGCACTGTCACCTTTCCTTCTGGTGACCTCCCCCTGACCCTTTTTTACCGGGAAAGCCAAGAACTGAACGAAGGATCTTCTGCATGCAGAGCAGACCTTCTCCTGCTAAACTGGGGTCCCTCCACTGGCTCACCCAGGGCAGTACGGTCTGCTCAGGCTGGCAGCAGCTTTCATGAAACTTGCGCTGAGGTTTTCCGGTCATCACAGGCCCGCAGAGTCTGTTCTGCTCTCACTCCTTTCAGCCCCAGCGGAAAGTTAATGGTCACGGGTGGTAGCAGTTATAGTCCACTAGCTTCTCAAGATCCTGCTGGGCTATTTAATTCCGGAGCACCCGGGAATTAAATGTGGGACCCAGTAGAGTCTGTGTATTCTAGCACTGAGCTACAGGTCGTGCCGAGAAATCCCAGCTTCGGCGATTTTTAGTCCATTAATCGGAGAAGAAGCAACAACAACTTGAAAGCCGGAAGCTGCATGTTTGTTTCTAAAGCGTTTTTGGGTGGCAAACTCCCGTCTTACAGCAACGACCGCTGGGAAGAGGAATTCCTCAGAAGATGGAGCTTCCCACCTACGGGTTTTGTAAGTGCTTGCACTAACGCCATACTTTTATGCAAAGATCACAATATGTGCATGGGTGTTTTCCAAAAATAGATTCGGCAAGAATAGAGCTTTGGCTATTGGGCGGTATCGAAGAACTAAACAACACCATCACGCTACACTGCAGCTTGAATAAATCAATGTGAAGCCGTTTTTGTGTTGCTGTACTGTACGACCAGGGTGTGTGCGCATTTTTTAGCGTGCTAGTTCAATTATTTCCTTTCCCAGATAGGAAAGCAGGGTGTAAAAGTCTCCAAAGCAAATCTATCACAACTCAGTGGGACCTTAAGTAGCGATGTGTAAGATGCCTCCGTAAACATATACGTTACCTTCCCGGTTTCTGTTTACCATGCCTGATCCTGCCTTCTCCCCTATGCTAGGCCAGCGCCCCAGCTCCACCTCCCCCAAATCTGTTTGCCTATGGCTCACTTTATGGCTGGGGGATAATGGGAGTTGCAGTCCAACTCATCTGGAGGACCCCAAGTTGGGAAAGGCTGTTCTTTCCGGGACTGGCTCTTGCATCTGAGAGCAAATCTGTAGAAGAGGTTACGCGGGAGCGCTGGCAATTTCTGGAATGCATCCACAATAAAGCAAGGAGGATGTCAAGGGACCCAGAAACCAAATCCTTGTAGAATTCTACACAAACCGCCTTCTATTTATTTATAATTTATTTATCTATTTAAAACTTTTCTATACCATCCCATACTTAAAAGTCTCGGGACGGTTTACAGCTGTCTCATGTTGGTTTCCAGCAATGGCTTTCCTATTTTTATTATAAACTGCTTCAGTTATTTTAGCATATTATTATATTCAAAATATAAGTATAAATCTATATTTATAATATATTTATAAATGCATCTGAGTAACTAATAATATTAACAACAAAGCATGCGTTAACTAGAGCCAGTGCAAAATACAGACTTCGAATTCATGGATTCTCAGCCCGGGAACTTGTTTTGAGTACCATGAATGGAGCCTCTTCCACACAAAAATCTACTCCCAATTACCTCTCCTCGGGCAGCTTTCTTCCTTGGGGCAGCATAATTCAGTGCACATATGGCAGGAAGGAGTCATTATGCTGTGCCACTGCGAAGCGAGGGGAAAAGCCTTGCCGATCTAATTCAAGTCCCTCACAGATCTACAAATAGTCCCCACTACATCTTCCCATCCAGTCTAATTCAGCTTGCTTTCCAAAATTTACTACAAAATGGAGGCGAGCTACACGTGTTGCAGTTGGTGCTTCTCCTCTTTTGAGTGGATCTCTCATGTTAGCCTGAATTTTATGGTCATTTGCCATTTAGAGAGTCCTGCTGGGCTATTCAGCGGCCTATACATTTGAAAATCAATACATCTCCTATCCATACGTACTTTGCACACCAGTGCAAAAGACCCATCTCTTGGATTGTGGACTCTTCTTGACTAACGGCAGCGAAAACCTCCTTCCCCTACTTGGATTTCAACACGCCACCCAACCCTGTGGTCCTTTCTGACACTGGACTACGTCAAAACTAAATTAGTGAAATTGGGTGTGCCTGAGTTTTACCTGGAATTGTCAGACACATTCGCGCCAGAGAGACACATATCAGGGAGCTGAAACCCGTACCGCTTCCAAATTCCTGCCACAGATACGATTTGATCTGAAATGCATATTCTGGTCTGTGGCTCTCAAAATGCCTCCGGGCAGCTGACCCACAGTGGCGTTTGCCCCGTGCGGTCTTGCCACGCGGCGCGGGGGAAGCTGGCTGCACGCTCCCGGCTGGCTTTCCTATCGCAAGCCTATGCAGGGGGAAGCTTATAGGGCAGAATTCGGCTCCAAGGAAGAAGACTGTACAGTACAGCACAATGTACCAAGCCTCGGGGACCACGCAACACGGCCAGCTTATGCCTCAGGGGCAGGCTGGAAACTCACGCCCAATTCCACGCAATTTGCTTCTCCTTACGAGATGCCAAGAAAGACCTCCCTGCATCTCACGGGGAGCTGTCTTGAGCTCTGCTCCCAAGTCCTCCTAAATGAGAAAAGTGCAACAAGAAAGGCTGCTTTGGTCCACCTGGAAGCATATTCTTCACCTATCTAGGATGGCTGAGCTGAAACAGGGGCACGGCCTCAGAAATAGGAACGCTGAGCTTCCGTCGTGCATTTGCCACGGCCCTTCTCTCGCCCTTGGTCCTGAACAGGAGTTTGACTATGGGTTCTCTCCAAAGAAGCGTCTTCCCACGTGCCGGGACGCACTTGGGCTTGGTGCCCATGCCTCTGTCTCACGGCCAGGTGTGCCTTCTCACAATCACTTGACACGTGAAGGACCCCTGGCATGAATCTGTTTCCCACATGTTCTCCCATGCGTCCTTCCCCAAGGACCTATCTTGGACTAAGGTAATTATCTCCATGTGGACGCCAGGCATTACCATGGTGGACGTGGCCACTGCCCGAAAGGACACGGCCGAGGCCTGGGAGCCCTTGCAGAGGACCAATCTGGCCCGTGTGCCATGCCAGTCTGTCAGGAGCTCGTCGCTTCCAAAGCCTGCAAGAGGAGCTCGGCCACTGGAGAGGTCTCCCTCAGCATCACCAGGTCTGGCAAGAGGGGACACCTGGTGCAGCAGCAGTGGCTTGGCTGGCCTGCTCCATTCTTCATGGAAGCTCTCCTCCAGGTCCAGGGGAAGGGGCGCAGTCGGGGGCAGTGACGGTGCTGCCAGAAAGGCTGCCGGCACTGCTCCTGCATTCCTAAGGCCTCCCCCGGTCGGTCAGCTCCAGGACGTTAAGGCAGCTACCGAGCAATCCAGGAAGCCTCTTCCAGAAGCACCCGTCCTTCCATCCACCTCTTGACAGAATGGACATGGTGGCTGGGCATGTTCCTGGAGAAGCCCCTGGAGCCGGGTCCAGCCGAGGACAAGCACGTGCGGCTATGCTGTCTATGGTGAGCCCTCTCTCAGGGACCTTCCTCTGTAGAAGCATTTGGCAAGGATGGTGTCTCTGCCGGCGTAGCTTTCCCGGCTCCTGGCGGATGTGACCCAAAGGCCTGCAGGACTCCACATCTCCTACGGTGACCCCTTGAAGGCAATCCTGCCACCTCCAGGACTCGGTGCATGGACTTCTAAGCCCCCATTGGATTGGAGGGGCCAGAAAAGAACGAAGAAGACTGCCTATTCGGGCTGCATTAGCGGGCAAAGACATGGGGCATTCCATCCCCTTGGGTTCCCCTCCTGGAGCTGGGAGATCAGGATGGTGAAGCCCCACTGCTGGGAATCTTCTCTGCAGGTGATCTTGGCCCCACCAGGCTACCTCCCTGGACCCCAAGTTCGCCAGCTGGGGGAAGGCAGGGCTTTCTCACCCGATTCAGTGCCTTTCCCAGGAGTAAAGCCATACCATTCCCCAAAGGGTTGGCACTGCCAGCTGCTGCCTTGTGACGGGTCCCCCAACCGGTACCAGGTGGAGGGAAGATGAGGAAGGCCACCGTCGCCTGGTGGCCAGAGCCTCCTCAACGGCACTGCCCCTCGGTGGGGGTGTCTCCTCGAGCTTCCCAGCGTGCCTGTGCAGGCCATGAAGCGAGCACGCAGGCAGCCTGGCTTCCTCAGCATCCGAGTGCCTGCTGTTGGCAACCCTTGGGATTACGCTCCACAGCCGGCTGCCAGAACACTGGGAGGAAACCGGCCGCCTTCTCTCCTATCTTTGCTCTCTCACACACACGTTCTCTCTCTCTCTTGTTGTTACTCTCCCTCCGCACCAGTTTGGAGAATCTGCCTCCCACCACAAAGCAGCAAGTGAACCCTTGGATCTCGGGAGAGGCCCCACCTCCTCCAGGACAGTCAAACTGGACTCCCTACCCAGCCCAGAGAGAGGATCCTCCCCAAGTCTGCTGGCCTCGTCAGCTTGAGGGGAGCAGCACTGCAAGAACAGCTTAACAAAATGTTAATGAAAAAATGGCAGTACCTAGAAAAACTTTTTTGTCAATGAAAAAAAGAAATGCCGCTAAGTTGATGCCACTTAAAAGCAATCCAAATACTTTGCATTGACCAAATTAGTTAGCTGGTTAAATGTGGCAGGATTTGTTACTTGTTTTGTTTTGCTTTGTTTTGTTTGGGGTGGGGGCCCTTTTCTCCCTTGTAGCACCTGGATTTGACTGTCACTAGAGACCACCCAGCTCACTGAGCCCTGGGAGTGGGGGGAAAACCACCTTTGCCCTGCTTCCCAAAACCCAAAACCATCCACAGTGCCGCAGGGTTCAAGTCACCTTTCGGACATTGTCGGCTTCCGCGTTCTCCTCCTTAGCAATTCTGTTGTCCTCTGTGGGAAAGGCGGGGGGCTGCTCGGTCCCACGCTCGTCCTCTTCCAGTTCGTCAGAGTCTTCCTCTTCGGAATCCATTTCTAATCTTTCCCCGTTCACGTGAGGACTGGCATCTCCCTTTTCGTCCTGAATACACTGATGCAGACAAAGCAAAGTCAACATCGGCAGCAAACACGCACATCCCACCCTGGGCAGTCCATGGGAAGCTGCTATCGGCCCAGTCAAAGCCCAGAATTCACACTGACGGACTTTTCAACCCGGCCTGGAAATAAGATGGATTGAATCTGGTAGTTTATACCCTGACTTTATTTCCATACTGCCCATTTCCTGAGGTTCTCTCTGGGTGTTTCACAAAACCATAAAATGAGAGACAGAGGGCATATACTTAAAACCCATGTAAGAACCCAGACCAAAGCAATGACACAGTATGGAGATCGCCAAATGCGCGAATGCAATTTAGTGCAGTGGTGAAGAGCGCTACCTCCGACGATCCGGGTTCCAGTCCCCGCTCAGCCATACAGGCAACTGGGAGGCTTTGGGCCAGCCCCAGACTCTTGGCTCAACCTACCCCACAGGGTTGGTGTTGTGACAACAGTGAGAGGAGGAGGAAGATGGATGCAAGCCACTTTGAATTCGTAAGGGGAAAAGCAAGATATAAATCTAATAAATAAATAACCTGGAGAGATACAAAGGCCACATCATAAGAACGAGAAGCCTTACCTTCTGTATGCAAGGCACACGTTCTACTAAAATGAAAATTAGGAGGCGGAAGAGAGACAGCTCTTCGCGGAGGCATGCTTGCAGCGAAGCAGTGTCTTAAGGAGAGCCCTTCCCCAGCGACACTGCCCATGAACGTCTCTTCTCTCCAGAGAAAACATGCCCCTCCATGCCTCCTTCCCACAGCTGGGTTGCTGTGTTGTGTGAACACAGCCTGACTGGCCCAGGATGGGCTTTTCCCCAAACAACCCAGGCTGAAAGCAGACGGGCTATCCTAATGTTGCTGTTCCCCGCCCCGCCCCCCCCAACGGGTTTGTGTGCCCCCTGAAGACTTTTTCTGTCTTCTTTCTCGCCATGCAACTCCCCACAAGCTGCCCTGACCAGGACGAGGCGCTGACCCTGTTTGCACAATGTGGATTTCCTGACAGCTGTGGCGAACGGAGGTCACCTCACGGTTGTGGATGATGGGGAAAGAGAATGGCTCCTCCTTGCAAGATCTCCTGAAGGCAAAATGGGAGGTGAAGCCCCAACCTTCCTGCCCCTAGAGAGGGAAATCTCTCTAGCACTTCCTTGCTACAAAGCAGTGGCACTGGTGATATTTTTTTGGGGGGGGGGCGCTAGAGATATTTGCAGTTTTTCCACTTTCACGGGGGCCCTGCACTGCTAACCCCCACAAACATGGAGGGCCAACTATACATGATCTGACTTACACACAAATTCAACTCCCGGATGAATGTCCATTTTCTCAGGAACGGAAGTCCTTCATAACCCAGGGACCGCCTGCATATCTATTCAATTTACCAATTAAAGAAGAACACAATTCTCCAGTCTGATGTACAGGAGAATTCTGGAAACAGGTGTATGGGGCTCTATTTGAATTAATATTCTGATTAACCATTAGGGCAAGGAGAAAGACCTAGGGGTGGAATGCTGCATATGGAGTCTACTTTGTGGATCTCCTGGCACTAGGCAAAGATCATTTTGATTTCCCCAAGTTTGGCGGGATGGATCCTGAACAAGCATTTCTTATCAGGGGACCGCTTCATGCTTTATGCCCGGCTGCCCAAACCTGGTGCTCCCCAGATGTTTGGGGCATCAGCCCCTGAAGAATCCTGACCAGAATGACCAACAGACGAGGACAGTGGGCGGCAACTAAAGCCCAAAACATCTGGAAGGCACCACGTTGGGAAATGCTGCTTTACATCTCAGTGGTTGGCTTCCACCGCACACACACAACGGTGTGATTGACCACCCGTCACACATTTGCTCCTCCTGGAGATCCTTTTAAATCAAGATCACAAGGGTTGGACACAGGATCTTCTCTGCCTACCAATCATGGTGCTTCCCCAGCCTTCTGAGATATGACCTCCAGATCCACCCACCGTTGAAAGAGAAGCAGGTAGCAGCTACAGGAGGAGTGGGGAGTCCCTGACTCTCCAGATGTGACTGGACTCAGAACCGCCATCATTCCTGACCTTGTCGCGATGGAATCGAAACAACAACCGTAGGGTTAACAGCCTCCCCGTCCCTGGACTACTGGAAGAGCTTTTGGATGTTGGTGCGCCATTCTGTACAACTATCTCCCACAAAAGAATCCAGCCTTGTGTGAATCTGCCATATTTCCCCCCATCAACGGGAAGCATCATTAAAAACAAAACAAAAAACCCAGATATTTCATGTTGTTTTTAGTTTCCTGAACAGATACAGTCTGTGCTGCCTCAGTTTTTGCTCATTTGGGATTGTCTTTTTGGAAATGCAGGCTTGTTTTTAATCTATGATTCTGAAGCCATCCTGGCAGTTTTCTCATGAAACAAAATGTAGGCTATCCAACAGCTCCAATAAAATAATACTAATGGCGGGTGCCAGCTGTCATACTTTGCATGGTCTTTGCAATTCAGCAACATCAGCGGCCGCAGGATGTTCCTCCTACCAACTGCACACGAGTTCCTCAATTCCCTGCACCTTCTTTTCTATTCCCCAGATAATCCAGGTAACTTGGATGGCATGGAGCCAGCTGGCCACATGGGAGGGGCCTTCCTGGCCTCACCTTCAGAGGGAGCAAGGGACGTGCTCAGGACTATCACCCAAATCAATGACTATGAAGAGCAAAGAGGCTTCCAAAGGGATGCGCTCTGCCATTTTAGTGGTGATTTAGGAGTGCCCTGGCTTCCCAGAGGCATCCAGTCGGCCACCGTGTGGGGAAAAGGAAGCTGGGCTAGATAGTCCTGGGTGTGAGGCAGGAGGGTCTCTCCTCTTGTGCCAAAGGCCTGATTCGTCACACAGCACGGAGTTACATCTTCAGCCCTATCTTGGGGGCTTCTGCCCAGCAGGTGGCTACTTGCGGCCACCTTCCACCTAGCCCATCACATCCTCAAGGCGTCACCAAGGCCCTCACCTTGCCACCTGAAGAGGAATGAGTGATGCTTTTGAACATCTCAATCATAGTCCTCTGCTTTAAAACTTTGGTCTTTTTCTTAGGAACCAGGCTGTACGTTCCCATTCTTCGTTTTTTCTTCCGAGATACCGAAGCAGCTGGATGGCAGAACAAAGAGAAGACAGTCCGGATCAGAGAGAAGGTGCACAATGCAGGGAACAAGCAGACGGTGGACGGGGAACACGGCTTAGCTGCAGCACGGACTGAGTTAACAACAAAGAAACACCTCCCAACACTGGAAGTCGGACTTCACTTGTTATACCCTAGTGAGTTGGAAAGGAAACAGGTGCACCCTGGAAACAGGTGCTGGGATTCTGGGTGCTGGGAACACAAGAAGTTTCCTCTGCTTCCACCTAGCCAGGCAGGCCTTGGGGCCCACAGCTCATACATGCCATGATCACCGAATTGACTCCTTTGTTCATTCTGGTCTGGTATTCCAAGCAGTATCAAGTGGCTGGTTCTAGGCACATGTTTTGCTCTGTGAATCCTGCTGGGGACGGAAGCAGGGAGTCACCGAGCAGTAATGGTCTCAGCCCCTCTTTCCCCAGACTCTTCCAATGAAGGCAGCAGTGACTGCCACAGGCCAGCGGGTTGTAAAAGATGAGGTCGTTTCCGTTTCGTGCAGTGCCAAGGTTCAAAACTATGTTCTGAATGGCAATGCGTGTGTCTCCCCACACCTTTAAGCTTGCCAGTGGCACCTGCTGCTTGGAATACTTTCACTCAGAGAACTATTTAATTGGAGAACTATTTCAGGACAACTATGGGAAGACAGCAGCTACACACACTCAGGTTCCAAGACAAGTGTTGCCATTGGCGGCTCGTATTTTCAGAAATGTGATGCTCCTTTCTTGCTTCTCAAAGACACCCGCTCCCCAAGCAATGAGCTCTGCCATGCGGCATATGAATGAGGCTTTCTGGTGGAGGACCTCAAACTTCCCATCCCAATGAAAATCCTAAGTATCCAACCCTATGCACATTTACTGGGAAGTAAATCCCACCGAGTCCATTGGGGCCTGCTCCAACGGAGGGCACAGTCAGATAGGAAAGGAGACATCTCCAGCAAAAAACATGCCTTAACCTCCCAGATTTGCTAAGCCCCTTCTCCCACAACTGGAAGCTCACGGGGGCCACTGAACTGGGGAAACATCAGGCAAGCCCCTCATGGCTCAAGTCCACAGGGCCTGAAGGGGCCTCCTGGTTCTGCCAGTGCCTTGAAATCATCTAAGGCCATGTTGTGAGGGTCCTCACACAGGTTCAAGTGGGCGGCCAGTTAAGAACGGGCCTTTTTGGTCAAGGCCCCAGGCTGTGGAATGTCCCTTCTAGTCTGCCACATCTGCTGAGTGCCAGTCAAAGCATGTTCTTATTTCCCCAGGCTTTTAAGAACAACAGCTGCTGCTCAGTTTGCTTGATAATTACAACTGTGTCACACCGAGAGCTGCCGCTCATGACGAAATAAAGATGGCTAGCTCCTGGACTGAGAGGGGGAGTGGGAACAAATGCTTCCCAGTGCATCCTAAGCCCTGTTGGTGGACCTTCATTCCTGTCCACAGTGGCTGAAGACCACCATTTAAAGTTCCCATAAAGTCCTGAGGAACACATCAGGGGCATTCTGGGAAATTTAAATGGCACTCAGATCCTTGGGGCTATTCAGAGGGGAGAAAATAAAGGAAAAGGCACCGGCTCCAATGTGCTGTTGTGCCAGACTACACAACGCTGGGAGATGCATGAAGACAATGCAACCATGTATCCTGTGTAACTCTTCAGGTTGAACTAGACGTGGGACAGGCAACTTGGCAGCCATAGCTGCTAATGCGCCATGTCTCTCTCACATTTTTCAAGTTAGCCAAGTTTTCTGACTGGCGAGGGATAGGTTTTTGATGGTGCGGCAAACTGGTTTCAATGGAGTTGCACAGCGTGGGGTTCAGACTCCACTTCTCCATTCTATTCAGTCTCTGGGGCAGGTCAGTTGGCCTTTGCCATGCCACCCATGGCCACCATTTTGTGATGGTGCCCAGGATAACTGACTGAATTGACAAACATGTCCATGGCCTGAATAGGTTGCCCAGCTCTGAACAAGGCACATCTTCAGACTTCAGTTCCACGCTTTCATGAATCAAGGGATTTTCTTCGGGATCACAACCCTCACTGGGACCAACCATAGCACCGATGACTGCGCCCCTTCCCTTCCCCTCATGCTGCCACTGTATTAAGCCCAGGGTTGGGGAAGATATGTCTGGTAGAACCACTGGGAGTTGTTTTCCCTAAGACTAACAGAAACGCTTGATTTTCATCAAGACAGTTGGAGACCATGGCTGAAACTCCTCCCTGAATGCCACGTTCCTTCTTCCCCTGAATGCCTGCTCTTGATTTTTTAAAACCTAGCATGCTATTTGCCTTATGGTGTTTTCTTATTTCTGCGAGCAGAGAAAGACAAAATAAACTTTAGTTGCACAACAAAACACACTACCACAGAAAAACAGTGGGTGTCTTTTGGAATCAAAGCCAAATGTCGGGGACCGATTCACGTGCCACCACGACTCAGGGTTTCAAACACTGTGGGTTGTTGCGAACAAGCCAGTAAGCTATGCCCATGCGGCTCACCCGTTCCCACAAGCCAGAGTGGTTGAACAGCCCAGACACACCGCTGTCCCCAGGTTGTTTAGCCTGACATGCAAACCTAGAATTCTGCTTTGTCCCTCCCTGGGTAAGTTCCAGCTCTGGCATGTTGGGAGAAGAAGCAAAGGGAAAACAATTGCACCACGATGACTAGCATGCAGGCCCATTTACAGCCGCTCGGAATTAAAAAAATAATAAATCTGGATAGCCCCTGCGTGTGAACTGACGTGTACAGAGTGAATTTCGTACGGTCAGCTCTATCACACCTATTCCAAAAATAAGAAGCAATACTTCAGGAAAGGGAGAACATATCAGTATCCAAGCATATTTATATCTTATTTAAAATTTTTAACTTACTTATTTTATATACCACTTATCATATTTCAACTCTACAGATATATATATATATGTATCATATATAAATACATATTCGTACAGTTTGAATCACTGAGTTGTGCTGCACTAGATCTGGGTGATGCGCTTTCCAATCACGCATCGTCATCTACTTTTGCCTATGAGGAGGCAGGCTGGGTACCTTCCAGAGTCTCAGAACCTCAGCTCCTAGAATTCCTGACCACAGGCCAGGATGCTGACAATTATGGGAGCTGCGGTCCAAAGCATCAGGCACGGGGGTGCTCCTTTCCAGGGCCCAAAAGCAATGTGCTCTATTCCTTACATTGCTCACTTTGACGGTCTAAAACCAGCTTCCTGAGATTTGTTGCCCTTCAAATGTTTCGGACCTCAGCTTCCAACAGCCCTGGCCAACACGGACATCGCGCAGTCAAGAATTCTGGAAGGTGCAGCCAAAACATCTGGAGAGCACCTGCTTGGGGGAGGAGAGGCTGCTCTAAACAAAGGGACAGTGAGGTGGCATCAGAAGAGGAAATGGCCACAGGGGAACCCGGAAGATCCCAACCCGACATTCTGCCTCCCCCTAAACCCATCAAGGGAGGCGTATACCCCCTAAAAGGGGTTTTACCTGTCTGTGATTTTGAGGCGGCCACATAGCTCTGGTTCTGAGGTAGAGATGAATGAAGGCCAGGGACAGGGGGCAAGGACAGGGGCTTCCCAAACTCCAGAACATTTTTGCTGCCATCTTCCTTAGGTGCTTTTGCTTCTTTGGGGTCTTTAGTTGTATGCTGGGAAACAGAAATCAAAAGGACCCTTTATGATTTTTGGTCAAGAAAACAGCTGCTGGCGGGAGTGGGGGAAATACTTTTTGAAAGAAAAAAGAAGCTATAATAAAATAATGCAAGCAAACCAAGACATTGAATCATTTGTCAAGAAGCACACCGACTCCTGCGGCACCCCCCCGCCCCAATCTCTCTCTCCACGTTACTCACACAAATGGAGACAGAAGCTAACATTCAAAGCAAAGCATTCAGCCTCAAGCAATGAACCAGAGAGCGGCCCGACTTCACAACTTCTCTTTCAGCCACAGAGCAGCTCCTCCCATTAGACAGTTCTGCATGGGCCACTTCCTGCCTCTCTTTCCCTTTTAATCTGCAAAGGTTCAGCTTGAAAGAACGGAAGAATACGGCAGAGATGAGGTACAGGAAATAGTGCCAAAGAAATCCGTGTATCTACTCCAAGGAAACCCAACGTTGGCGACTCCGGCTGTGTTTCCACACTGGTCCAACAAGCAGGACATGAGCCCAACAGCAACCTCCTCCCATGTTCCCCAGCAGCCAGCACTGCCAACTACCATGCCTATGATGCGGGAAGTAACACAGAGCCATCAGAAGTAGTAGTCCTTGACAGTCTTAACTTCCGTGTCTTCTAAATATTCCTTTTAATACTAATCCAAGTTGGTGGCCATCTCAAAGTTGGGACTGCCAGTACCATCACATGACCAGTTTCCCAGGCAAAGGCGGATGCAACCAGTTTGATCTGATGTTGGCTTTTTCCAGACCATCCCCAGCCCCAAAGTCCACCAACCAGGGCCAGGTGCGTAATTGGGAGGGAAGGGGGCAAGAGATCGAGAAAGATCTCAAGTGCTGGCAAGGCCTCCTTAACTTCAAGTAGCTATTTGCTGAGATAATTTGTATATTCAACTACAAATCCCCATTTGTATGTCTACCAGTGAGATCTGTTTTCTGGGGGAAAAAATGAATCCTCAAGTTTAGCCTTCGAAACAGCCCTTATCTGATGGCAGATTTATCACCGCAGAGCAAATGAGTTTAAAGATCATCCTCATTCTTTAACTGTTCCTGGACACAGGATACTAAAGAGAAATATCTTGCTGGTCTGCTAAAAATTGGAACAAACTAGGCAGCTCGTCAGAAAAACATACAGATTTTGGAAACAGTTCCTACTTTTCTAAGCAAATTAACCAGAGTCCACACTTTGGTAAGTGGTCTTCTTCAAACCCCAGAGCAATGAGATCATTCAAGGATACAATCCTATTCCTGTTTTAGAGAGAAAAACTCCTATAATGCACACTATTCCCAAAGCAGCTCGACTGCCTGGGAATGCCAAGACTGCATGACTTCTTCCCACCTAAACATCTATAGGACCACACCTTTAATATTCCTAACTTCCGCCCTGTATATTTTATGTCCGATTAACTTACACTTTGTATCACAAACTGGAATACACACTGGAAACTGCCATGACATTTTATTAAAATCATTATTTTTGGATTGTTAACCATTTCTCTGATCCATGCTTCATTTATCTTTCCTAAAAGAGGACATTCTCTCTTAAATTGCGATGACCTAGAATTATCAACAACAGCATCGCGGAGATGAGTTTTGTTTACGGAAGCCACATTCCAGAGCTAGCTTTCCTCCAAAGGGAACCAAACAAAGAGTCTGAATTGGGGCACATCCATTTATTTATTTTTATTTATTTGGAATTTCTGTATGCGTACATCCACACCAGTTTGAAGGCAGCGAAGGAAAAGGACGATAGCTGGATTGCAGGGATGAGATTCAGGGAGCTGGGTCTTTGGAGCCTAAAGAAGGCAAGACACAGAGGGGTTCTTATATGGACATATAGGTATGTGAAGAGGTGTCACAAGGTGGAGGAAAGGACGGGGCAAAGCTCAGGGAACCAGGCTTCAGGTTGGGTGTCAGGAAGTACTTCCTGATGGTTAGGACCCCGGGGGTCCTCAAACTTTTTGAATAGAGGGCAGTTGAAAGGCTGCAGTGACTGTAGCAGGCCAGTGAGGTGCTGTCGGGCTCGTGCAGCGGTGGCTCACTCACTCGGAGATCTCCGAGCGAGCGAGCGACCACCTCCCCACCCGCACTTCGAGGCATCGGCGAGCATGCGTGTACAGGAGGCAGGCAGTGGCTTGCTCGCTTGAAGACCATCTCCAAGCAAGCGAGCGAGCCGCCACCTCCCCACACATGTGCAGGCGGTGAACAGTGGCGCAGGCCAGATGGATGGCCATGGCGGGCCGGATCTGTCCCACGGGCCGTAGTTTGTGGACCCATGCCCTAGGATATCGAATGTGCTTTCTCAGGAGGTGGTGGAGGCCCCATCAGGAAGGGTGTTCAAGGAACGACTGGAAAACCACATGTTGAGTATTACATAAGTGGAGCCGGCTGGAGCCAGGGCTCAGACTAGATGGCCTGGGAGGCCCCTTCTGACTCACTATGTTTATAAAGCTCATGCCCAGTATAACAACAAAAAGGAAATGTTTTCAAGCTTTTCACTCGGGATAGGGTGAGGGGAAGAATTAGTAGGATATGGACAAGGCGGCCTATGACTGTCCATTCTATAAACCCACCCTCTTGGGTGAACAAGGCATTTCTGAAACTACCACACTTCCTACAGAAAAATATGTTGTTGTTGTTAGTGGCGAAGTCATGTCCGACCCATCGCGACCCCATGGACAACACACAGAAAATACAGCAGCTGGAAATGTTCTGCCATGTACCACTGATCACTGCAGAAAAACCTTAACACGGGTTTCCTAATTCAAGCACACAGAGCTGGAAAGAAACGTGGCTAAAGGCAGCTGATTGATACCCATATTTTAAAGGCAAATAGCAAGGTGGGGAAAGAGAATTAAACTAGTGGGAAAATGTAGAGACACAAATACCCTCTATAACCCCAGTTAATTGCTCCCAGATAACTGTTAACTGGTGATGGTTCAGATGCAAGCTATTATTCGTTTATTTTCTTATTAAATTTATATCCCGCCTTTCTGCTAAAAACTGTGCTCTAGGACACTAATGATAATCAGACATGAATTTAAAGCATGATAAAAAAAAACAAATCAGGGAAAAAAAGCAACAATGAAATGACATGAGCAGCGGTCCATCTGGTCTGCCCAACATGTGAGCACCACCCACCCCGATCTCTGCAGGAATGAGGCCATAGCTGAAAATATAAAGCTGGTACTTGCCAGCCCAAATGCTAAACCTGAATGAATTGCAGAACATCTTCAGCAATAAGTACATCCCCTTTCCTTTCCAGATGTGGAAAAATAACAGAATTCCCATCAGCGTCAGCTCCCCCTAAAAGCTTTCTGCCAAGCTTAATAGTTAGACCTGGATGTTTTCATCTTTCACCTGTTCCTTTCCAGTTAAAGGCAAATGAAAAGGAGAAGCAGAATGGCCTTGCAAGATCACACCAAAGAGTCACCAATCCCAGAAACCAACAAGCACAAAGAGAATTAGCACATGCGTTATTAGTGGCCAGCGATCTGGTAGCCAAACTTTCAGTGCCTCTGGCAAGGACTGTCCATTTCCGAGACTGTCGGTTAATAACATCTTCTACATAAATGTATTGATTCTAGCCCTTCTTAAAGTTATTGGAACCAGAAGCCACAGTGGAACTGTTGCAGCAGTAAATTCTATAACAGAAGCGTGTTTGGAAATGTTCTTTTGGAAGAAGCATAATCTTTTGCTTTCCCAATCAGCTTCATTGAGCCAGAGTTCTATGATTTTCCTATCGTTCACATTTTATATGCCTCTAGTGTATCCGTAGTTGAATCCTTTTAAAAAAAGCCAGGAAAGCCAAAAACAATTTTATCCTTTCTTGTTAGGTACTTCAACCCCTCAAATAAATTCTAATTATCCCTTTTTATTCAACTTTTCTAGCTTTTGCTTTGTTTCCCTGTCAACCATGATTTATTTATTTTAAATGTTTGCTTTTCAGCCATGACTCAAAAGGAGACACACGCAGAAACACAACAAAAAGAAACTAAGTTTGTCTAGCCAAAACAAACAAACATGACACAAAACGGAGTTCCGCTGAAGTTTCTGTGTGATATAAAACTCCAGGCTTGAAACATGCCAGGGGAAATTAAAACAAATGTTTCAGATTGTGCCAACCAATGAGAGGGATGATGCCACAAAAGCCTCCATGAGGAGGAATTCCAAAACTGAGGTGCCATGACCAAAAAGGCCTTGCTTCCAGTCTCAATTTGGCTTACTTTCAGATGACAGTGGCAGATGAGGAACTCAGGACAAGGTCCCAGAGGCCATTAAATATCTGAGCAAGTTCACGTGGAAGAAGAGGAATCCTTTAGGAACCATGGTCCCAAGCTGCTTAGATCCTTATAGGATAAAAGAGTGGTCCAGCTCACACAACCCTAGACTAAACAAAACATTGCTATCCATGGTTACCCAACAGAAAGCTAGCATGCTGCTTTCAATGTGCCATCCCAGAAAGCTATTTATGGACTGTTGTACAGGAAACAATCCAGAGTTTAACCTAGGAACAAGCCGTGGCTTAAAACTCTGGGTTGCTTAAGACCACAGCTCGCCCTTCTGTGTGAACCAAAGAGATGCAGTGAGGAAGCAAGAATAATCCAGAAGGTGGAGACTCCATCCTGTATGACCAGCAACTTTCGGTGAACTTTGGATGAATAATCAACTGTTGGCCAGTCTTGGGACAATAAGCAGCACGTTCTTGCCAGGGGTTTCATGATTCCCTTTTCTTCCTCATCTCTTTCTTCTTTCATGGCACATATTTTTAGAATGTAAGAGTAGGAGAAGGAACTGTTTTGTCTCTGCTTATTTTTAAGCTACTTCTGGGAAGCTTTCCAGCTGAAGAGTGGGTCATAGGTAAATACTTTAATTTATTAAATAAAATCAGAATTTTGAACCGTGCTCAAAAATGAAAGCACTCAGATGCTTCTCAATCCCACACCAGCCTTCTAGGTCTCTCTCCACCACATAGGGTT